CCCTTTGTGTTTATTGCTTGGGTTGCCAAATAATTATATTTCCGACAAGTTTAAGAAAAAACTCTGTAATGTTTTAACATTCTGTGCAAGGAAATGTATTTTATTACAATGGATAACAGATAAAATACTCTCTATAGTAAGCTGGCACAGAGTTGTTTTGGAACATGTATCTCTAGATTACTTGACACACCTGTCACGTTCAAAAACAAATGTCTTCTACGATATTTGGGAACCTTTTCTGCTGTATATTGGGTCAGATCTCTCAAGTATTCTGGTGAGAGCACTTGTGTAGTTTACTGTGGCATTTTGATATGTTGGTCAGCATAAATATTTGTGCATGTAAGCTGGGTTTTTTTTTTTTATTTATTTATTTTATTTTTTTTGTGATGTGTGTATGGTGTATGCTTGTTATGTTGAGAAAAATTAAATAAACATAATTATAAAATCATGGTTTTTCACTATACTATAGGCCAGGAGTGGCAAACTCCAGTCATGGGTGGCCAGAGTCCAGCATAATTTGGTGATTTTCCTACTCAGACACACCTGATTCAACCCAGCAGTTAATAGGCAGGTTTAAGTGATGTGTTAAAAGCAGGAACATTTGCAAACTGCGCTGGACACCAGCTCTCTAAGACCACAGGTCAACACCCCCGCTACAGACATTACTTCATTGAACTAACAAGATGTAATTTAACTGTGTCTGTGCTCCACCTTGTGGTAGCACAGCTGTCATGCATGCTCTGATGTATTGACCTCACTTTGAGTAAGAAAGTGCTGGGTACAAGGATGGGGTGCAAAAAAGCTTAAACACTGGGTGATCAGTGAGAAGTGGTTTTACAATGACAATCCTTTTACTAGCATAGGACAATCATTTTTAACCCCTTACACTCCCAGATTTATTACATACTAGGACTTATTATTCAGTAACTACATGGACTACAAGGCAAACTGGCTGAGCTATTTTTAGGTCATAGAAGTGTGCAATAAAATTTTGGGCCTGTCGGTGGGCCCTGGACATTTAAGAGATTAAAGAATTTCTTTTTCACATTTTTAAAGAGCTGACTACACATCCAGAGGTCAGTTAGTACAGTTAACGGGTCAATTACAGCACAAAAAGCCATTCAGCGCTGCTGCTCTACGATCAAACAGGGCGCAGAACCTGCCCTTTATTACTAATGATGCATGTTAGATATGGTGGCCACTTAGACCAAAGCATGGATAAACCTGAACGACGTTATTTAGGTAAAGTTATAAAATATTTATCAGTGTTATTTCAGAGAAAAAGCACTTATCACAGCATCAAACTGAGGGTAGACTCTTTATGTGGAGAAAGGCTGAAGAATAATTCCAACCAGAACGCATTAAGGCTACTGTAAAGCAAGGAGGCGGGTACGTCAAAGTCTGGGGCTGTTTTTCTTACAGTGCTGTCAGTGAGCTTGTGCTCACTGACAGGATCATGAACTCAGGCATGCAGCTTACAAATGCATTTTTTAAATCAAACCTGCAGAAGTTTGTGCTCCAAATGCACCAGCTGCCTTCTGAAATAATACTTTGCCAAATAAAAAAAAATTACCCCCAGCATGAAAACCAGAGCTCGCTGAGCAAAAAACCAGCATGGCCTTGTCACCAGCAAAACCAGTATTTGTTGTGTATTGGTAGCAGGTATGCTGGTCAGCAGCAATGGAAGTTAATACGTTGGTCACCAGCAAAATCAGTAATTGTTGTGTTTTGGATGCCTGTATGTTGGTCAGCCAGCATGACTATGCTGGGTGACCAACTAAACCAGCATCAGACCAGCATGAACCAGCTTACAGCAGCATGAAATTCACTGTTTTCAGCAGGGACAATACTGGAATGGTATGTTTAAAGTACAGGGTGATTCAAAAAGATTCATCTGATTTCAAAATGATTTATTTCACTTGTAAATCGTTACAGAACAATGCAGTGAACTGTAAATGGTTTAAATGAGCATAAAGTTTATTATGTAATTTTACAAGAGCTCAGTATGAACCTCCTCCAGCTGTACAGACAACAACGCCATAGTCAAATTCATCCCGTACTCCATCGAGCATGTCGGGTGTCGCTGCACTCACGGCTCTTTCAGTGCAATTTCGGAGATCATCCAGTATTGGGGAACCAACGCTGAACACTCTGAGCTGTTGGAGGTTCACTGCCGATGAAAATCACGCTGCTCAGTTATGATGGATTCACTCTTATTGAAGTAGAGAACGCAGAACGGTTTCTGCTCAGGGGTCTCATCTCCTCTCAGACTGAAGGGAGCCATCATCCTGTGACAGTCAGAAATTCTGTGACCCCCTCTTTCAGTTGGATTGTGATTGGTTCCTAGGCGCCTCACAGTTGTAAAAATATGGTGCTTTGAAATCGGATGAATCTTTTTGAATCACCCTGCAAAGTCCACTTAGTTTGACCATTTGTTTCCTAACAAAACGAAAATTATATATTTCATGTATGCCAAAAATGTCCAGATACATGGGGTCACTGGTTAAATAAACCGAATGTTGATTTTTTGCGGAGCCATTGATGCCAACCCTGCTGAAAAAGGGGCCGGGTATTATGGGATCGGTTTAGTTATCCCACATCTTGCTATTGTTTTGTCTGGAGTGGCTTTTTATTTTATCTTTTTGCTTTTTTCACATGGACTCACCTCTGGTTTGATAAGTTTCACAAATACATCAAACCAGAATTCCTGGTTACAGTAAATCTGTCTTTATGTCTGTGTCCTCATAATTTAACATCCTTTGTTGTGCTGCCGCAACAAAACAATGTTGGGATCAAGAAAGTAAAAATCTGATCTAATCTAATCACACATCTTGCCCCTCTCAGATGATAATCCACCACCTCTGGTTTTTCAAAGTTTGATTAATTGCCTTGAGAGTTTTGATTATGAGGAGAAAACTTCTTAATTTTATCATGTTCTGACATATCATGTGTTGTTCTCCCTGGACTTTCTGTCAGAACTGTTCAGGATCTTTTGCGAGGCTCCAGACTGCATGACTGTCTCTCCAGTGAACCTTCAAAGCGTGTTACGCCAGCTGGGGGTTCAGGATGGGAACTTCACCTGTGATTGTGAAAAAAGCTTTAATTAAACTTGTGTTTTTATTAAATATGACATTCAAGTTCTGAAATTAATAAAACATAGGCCATTAATATATCAAGGGCAGTGATAAAGACTCTGAGTCCAGACTGGTATCTGAAAGATGTGTTTGTCCAAAACTACAAGGAATCAAGAAATAAGTGTGTAAAGCAAATTACATTAAATGTGATCTTTTCAGAACCTGCATGAGTTATTAACTTGAAAATAACTGCATCTCAGGTATGATTTAAATTATTGGCTTGATCACCAGGCCTAGGACAGTTTGTGATGTGATGCTGAATTCTGTTCTTAGCTTACAAAAGAGATGGTAGAATGTGCACATCTAATTAGATCACCTGCAGGCCATCAAATACTGGATACAGACAATAAGAAGAAAATGCCTGATAATCGAGAGGAGTGGACGAATTTGGTGTCATTTAAAATGGTGTGTGTATTTAACATCTGCATACCTCTGAGATGTGTCATCGCTGGAGGAGATGTGGAGGTCAGTGGTGTTACTACTGAAGGAGATGCGGAGGTCAGTGGTGTTGCTGGAAGAGGTGAAGAGGTCAGTAGTGTTACCACTGGAGGAGATGCAGAAGTCAGTGGAGTTGTTGCTCGAGGAGGTGTGGAGGTCAATGGTTTTACCACTGAAGGAGGTGTAGAGGTCAGCAGCATTATCGCTGGAGGAGATGTGGAGGTCAGTGGTGTTACTACTGGAGTCAAGTCAAAGTTTATTTATATAGCGCTTTTTACAACAGGCGTTGTCGCAAAGCAGCTTTACAGAAAAATCCGGGTCTGAGCCCCCATGAGCATCGCCAATGGCAACAGTGGCAAGGAAAAACTCCCTAAGAGCAGAGGAAGAAACCTTGAGAGGAACCAAGACTCAGAAGGGGAATCCCATCCTCCTCTGGTCGACACCGGATAGCACACAGTAAAACAAGAGCAAGATGAAGAGTGGATAAGGTTTTAACGTTAGTATAAAATATTCAAATATGGAAATGGGGAAAAACAGGTGAAGCGATGGTTAAAATTAAATAGTTTGAGTCTGTGCAGCATCAGCAGCTGCAGCAGTATCATCAGAAAGGAGGTGTGAAGGTCAGTGGTGTTACTACTGGAGGAGATACAGAGGTCAGTAGTGTCACTGCTGGAGGAGGTGTAGAGGTCAGTGGTGTTACCACTGGAGGAGGTGTAGAGGTGAATGATGTTACCACTGGAGGAGGCGTGAACATCAATGGTGTTACTGCTGAAGGAGGTGTAGAGGTCAGTGGTGTTACCACTGGAGGAGGCATGAACATCAATGGTTTTACTGCTGGAGGAGGTGTTGAGGTCAGTGGTGTTACTACCGGTGGAGATGCAAAGGTCAGTGGTGTTACTGCTGGAGGAGCTGCGGAGCTCAATGGTGTTACTGCTGAAGGAGGTGTAGAGGTCAGTGGTGTTACTACTGGAGGAGATACAGAGGTCAGTAGTGTCACTGCTGGAGGAGGTGTAGAAGTCAATGGTGGTGTTACTGCTGGGGGAGGTGTGGAGGTAAGTGGTGTTACCGCTGGAGGAAGTGTGGAGGTCAGTGGTGTTACTACTGAAAGAGATATGGAAGTCAGTTGTACTACTGTTCGAGGAGGTGTGGAGGTTAATTGTGTTATTGCTGGAGGAGCTGTGGAGCTCAATGGTGTTTCCACTGGAGCAGGTGTAGAGGTCAGTGGTGTTACTGCTGGAGGAGATGTAGAGGTCAGTGGTGTTACTGCTGGGGGAGCTGTGGAGCTCAATGGTGTTACTGCTGAAGGAGGTGTAGAGGTCAGTGGTGTTACCACTTGAGGAGGTGTAGAGGTGAATGATGTTACCACTGGAGGAGGCGTGAAGGTCAATGGTTTTACTGCTGGAGGAGGTGCTGAGGTCATTGGTGTTACTACTGGAGGAGGTGTAGACGTCAGTGGTGTTACTACCGGAGGAGATGCAAAGGTCAGAGGTGTTACTGCTGGAGGAGTTGCTGAGGTCTTGCCGCTGGAGGAGATGCGAAGGTCAGAGGTGTTACCACTGTTGGAGGTGCAGAGGTCACAGGAGTTACTGCTGGGAGGTACAGAGATCAGTGGTGTTACTGTTGGTGGAGATCAGAAGGTCAGTGGTGTTACTGCTGATGGTCAGTATTGCATGTATGGAAAATGACATGAACAAATAAACTTTTTTCGTCATGAAACTCACCTTTTTAACCTCGGTAATGGTGATGGCTTAGCGTATAATGTAATGCCATGGAATTCAACCTCGTGCTATGTGGAGCAAAGAAGGCTTTCACTTCCTTCTTTCTCTTCCGCTCGTTTCTAGCTTTCTTTTCAGCAAAGTTCTTCTCTTCCTCTCTCCGCTTGGCCTCCAGTGCCTGTTTCTGCTCCTCTTTCTTAGCTTTCTTCTCAGCTCTTTTCTCCTCCCATTCTCTCCATCTGGCCTCCAGTGCCTGCCTCCTCTCCTCCTTCCTCTGCACTCTGTCCCTTTTGGACCGCTCATACTCTGCCATTGTGACCACTCTGGTAGAAGAATCTGTTTGGAGAGAAAGAGTTGATAGTAATATAGAACCTCTACTCTCAGTTTTAAAGACAAGCCACCATTTTAATACTGTTCTCTGCTATTTTAAACAGCCCTACTTCACTTGTCCTTGTCACTGCCCCTTTGGATGAATCCGGGTACCAGGTGAAGGTTATTAGATGAGCCCTCGGAGGAGCGACACACCACAATGTTAACTTCGGCAGCAGAAGAGCCCAAGAATCATTGTGAACTGACGCGTTTCCCATTTCAAATATTGGTAGACGACGCTGTTTAAAAGCCACAGCAGTGAACTACTTTAAAATGCTTAACATTTCGACATGCTACATCATTCGATGTGCTAGACTGCAAATTACGAGAGCGTAACTATGTTCCCAAGGTTCTAGAATTCCCAAGGCTCTAGGTTCACCTGTGTTCAGCTCTTTACACATCATAAATTAATATGACACATTTAGTGAACCTCTGAAAGCTAACCTAACCTAAGACACATAACCTTTTTGAAGAACTGTTTGATCTGGTTTAAGGCTGTACTGCCATTTTCATCGCTGTCGCTAGTTTTGTAGCATTTTGTTTGCTAACTAGCAAGTTTGCAGAATAAAATAACAAATTTGATACGTTTTGAAGGGAAATGGTGAGAACAAGTTACCAAGAGCATGTTAAAAACAGCACTGAAACGGACGGTAGATGTTCTCAGTGAGGATGTGCTCAAATATTCCACTGTTAGCATGAATGCTAACCTTGGTAATGCTCTGTAATGTTCAATCAGAGCATGTTTTAATAAGGGAATCTATTTGGAAGCAGAATGTACATTACTGAACATTTAACATCAGAATATGTACATCTGTAAACACACCAGAAGTGTGGACGTTATTTTGATATTCGCGATGAGGAAATATGATTGAAGCTGCATGGAAACTCAGAGCTACTTCCTATTAAAATTTCAATGAGGAAATCTAGGACCCTGGGAAAATAGGACTGTGTCTAAAAATTACAAAGAGGGAACACTGGGCCTGGGGAACATAGGACCCTCGAAACATAGGGAAGACCCCCCCCACGACTCCATCTGTTATACTTCACTGCTGATACAGCTTCATCACTTTACTCGGCTGGCTGGCTAGTGAGCACGCTAAAGGCTACATGAGTAACAACAACAAAAATAAAGGCCATAAAAGGCTCTACACCAACTTTAAACTCAGCCAAAGCAATTATTCATAAATTTTATATACATTATGTTTCCTTCTCAAAAAAAAAGTTTGCACTGCTGGCTGATTAGCTCACTCAGGCTAGCCTAGCTGAGGTCGAGTGCTTTCCGTTTGAATAATGTGCTCCTCGCCGTTCTGTCGCCGGTGGCCACTTGTGTAACACGGGAGCCACCTTTTCATAGGTTAATCTGTCACACGCTGATGAAATGTTACTGTCGTGCAACCGTTCTTATTTTGTGGAAAGAAAACAAAAATCGCAGATTTCTGTTATTTTTTCATATCAAAACAAACTGATACATGTCAGAAATGCAGACTTAAAATGTAAATTGAATGTAATTGGAATTCATTATGAAACTGCCTGTGTAACTATCATCATTTAAATACGTACAAACAATAAATCCAAATCGAAGGTGGAGCAAAATGACAAGAATAACTCTAGACTTTTAAGGCTTGTGCTGATATCAAATATGAATGCCGATATATGGTTAAAATCTATTCTGTATTCGAGAAGAATATAACAATATAAGGATAACTTACTGAAAAGCATGTGTCCAAACTCCGCCTCCCTCTTCAAGCTCTTCTCAATGGACCTCTGGTGTTTCTCTTTGACCTTCTCATTAATCCAGCCGATGATACTCATCCTCCTGTCCTTTTTGTTGGCCTCCTTCTCAGATCCAGTGTCCTGGTCGGCCTCATGCATCATCTGAGAGGATGTGGGTTCATCACTTGGGCGGTCAGTCTGGGTGGGTGGAGCCTGTTCCATTGCTTCATCATGCCTCAAAGCCTCTTTTTCTGGTTCTGGCTCAGTAGAACCCTCAGGGTTCAGGACGGCTTCCTCCACCACAGAGTTTTTATCTCCACCCACAGTGTCCTCTGTGGGGGGGTCAGCTGGGGAGGGTTCAGATGGTTCAGGCTCCTCCAACATTGGGTTGCAGGGCTTTATGGAGATGACCAGCGGTCCTCCATCTGGAGAAACAGGCCAGCTAGATCTCTGAGGCTCCTCTTGTTCTTCAAGCTCGGCCTGCTCCTCCTCGCTGTTTGAGGGCTCCTTCAGGTTCCTCCGCTTTCCTGCCAAACCTCTGCGCTGATCCCGGTTCTCCATCCAGAACATGTTCACACCTGGAGAAAAGAGCTTCTTCATCATTTCTTTCTTCCGCTTCATTTCTCTCTCCATGTGCTGACGCCTCGCCTCCTTTATCCTCTCGACCTCCAGCTCTCTCTCGCTGCTCTCCTTCTGTCGTCCCTCCTCCTCTCTCTGCTCCTCTGTTTCCTCCATCTCTACCTCTCTCTGCATCTCCATATCTGGAACCTGCTCTCGTTCCTCCTCTCTACTCACAGCTATCTCCATGTCAGTCTGCATTTCTTTATCTCCATCCGTCGTTCTTTCCATCTCCACATCTTCTCCATCCTTAACTTCTTCTCCGAAGCTGTTCCTGCAGGTGGCGTCTCCCTGCCCCTCTCTCTCTTTCTCCTCCTCTCTCTCCTTCTCCATTTCTTGATCTTTCCATTCTTCATCATGTTCCAGGTTTGTTGTTTCTCTTTCATGTTCTTCCTTCTTTCTCCTCATCCGTTCAGTCTTCTTTCTCTCCTCCATCTCTGTCTTTCTCTTCTCCATCTCTGTCTTTCTTACCTCCAACTCTCTCTCCATCTCTTTCTCTCTTTCCTCCAGCTCTCTCTCCATGGCTTTCTGCCTTTCCTCCTCCTCCTCTTCTTCTTCAAATGTTCTCTCCTCCTCTCTAAAATTTGAAGTGAACTCTGCTGCTTTACATTCTCTCTTCTTTCTCTTTTCAGCGTTTTCTCTCTCCTCCTCCAGCTGTCTTTTCATCTCTCTCAACCTTTCTTCCTTCTCTTTCTTCTTTTCTGCTATCATCCTTTTCTGCTCTTGTTGCTCCTTCATCTTTCTCAGCTTTTGCATCTTTCTTTCTTCAAGCTTTTTCTCCAGCTCGTACGTTTCTTTTTCTTGTTTTTCTTTATCCACGTCCATCACTTTTTCTTCTTCTCTCTTTCTCTCACTTTCTCTCCTGCTCTCCTCCTCTCTCCACTCTTTCTCACATTCAGTCTTTAGCTGCTCCTCTGTCAGGATTTTCATGCATTTCTCCACCTCCATTCTTTTCCTTTCTTCTCTCTCTTTCTCCAGCTTTTCCCTCTGTCTTTCATTCTCTCTCTTCTCCTTTTCTCTTTCTTCACACATCAGTCTTTCCATCTCTTGGGCTTTCTCTTTCACAAGCCTCATTTCTTCCTCTTTCTTTCTGTCCATCTCCAGATATCTGTGCTGCCACTCTTCCTCATGCTGTTTCACTCTTTCGCTCCATTTCTCCTCCTCTCTTCTCAGAGTCTGTTCATTTTTCTCCTCCATCTTTCTCTCCATCTCCCTCAGTCTCTCTTCCACCTCCTTTCTTTCTCTCTCTAACTCTTTTTGTTTCTCTCTTTCCATCTCCGTTTCTCGCAGTTTCTCCTGCACCTCCTTTTCCAATCGTTTCTGCCTCTCCATCAGCTCTCTCTCCATCTCTCCTCTCTCCCTCTCTCTCTTTCTCTCCATTTCTTTCAGCATGGCCAGTTCTCTCTCTTTCGCCGCCTTCCTCACCATCTCCATCTCTCTCTCCATCTTCCTGCATGACTCCTCCAGTTCTTCCAGCTTTTCTTTCTCTCTTTTCATCTCTTCTTCCATCTTTCTTTTCTCCATTTGCTCCCTCTCCATTTGTTCATGCTCTCGCTGCACTCTCTTTAACTCCTCCTCTCTCTCTTTCTCTCTTTCTATCTCTCTCTGTCTTTCTCTCAGAACCATCACCTCTTCTCTCTCATGATTCCTTTCTTCTTTTCTCTGTCGTTCTCTATGGGCCCTTCTCTCTTTCTTGTCCTCCTTCTCGAGCATCACTTTCTCCTCTCTCTGTCTGGCTTTCAGATTCTCCGTTTCTCTCAGGAGGCTGCTCTCCTCCCTGCGTCTCTCCTTGAAGGCCATTCTTTCTTTTATTGTCTCTATCTCTCTTCTTAGAGCCTCCTCTCTCTCTGTCCATCTGAAATGCTCCATCTCTCTCTCTTTCTGCAGCCGCTGCCGGAGGAGCAGTCTTTCTCTCTCAGCGTCTGGATGATTCTTCTCCTCCTCTGCTAGTTTCTCCTTCATCCTCTGCACCTCTCTTTTCAGCTCGCTCCCTCTCTCTCTGGATCTCAGGATCTCCATCTCTTGCTCTCTGATGATCTCCTCCATTCCTCTGATCTCTCCCTGTCTGCCGCTCTCTCTCAGGGCCTTTAAACACACAACACACACAGTCTGTGAAGAACACCTTCCTGACTGAGACCATCAGCTCTGGGCTTTTACACTCAGACTGAAAGCAAATAGATACAGACAGACAGACAGACATACAGAGAGATATAGACAGATAGATAGATAGACAGACAGACAGACAATCAGATAGATAGACAGACAGACAGATTCTGGATTTAGAAGACAAAACCACAGTATTAACCGTTAAATGCAAACCTCGGGGTGCTGCAGCCTCTGAGCTCATTTCTGCTCCAATATCAAAATAGAACAATATTTATTTATGCTGTCTCAAGAAAGCCAACTTAGGGGACGGCAAGGGGGCAAATATATAGTATATTATAATTATTGTGTCATATGATACCTCAAGACATCATCACAATACAGGATACCCATCACAGTATTTAGTTTTTCTGAGATTAAGTTAGTTTGAACAGACAAAATAGGTAGATAGATAGACAGACAGACAGACAGACAGACAGACAGATAGATACAAACATAGATATACAGATCAGCAGACAGATAGATACATAGATAGACAGACAGATAGATAGACAGACAGACAATCAGATAGATAGACAGACAGACAGAAAGACAGATAGATAGATAGATAGATAGATAGATAGATAGATAGACAGACAGACAGATAGATAGACAGATAGATACATAGATAGATAGATAGATAGATCAGCAGACAGATAGATAGATACATAGATAGACAGACAGACAGATAGACAGACAGACAATCAGATAGATAGACAGACAGACAATCAGATAGATAGACAGACAGACAGAAAGACAGATAGATAGATAGATAGATAGATAGATAGATAGATAGATAGATAGATAGATAGATAGACAGACAGATAGATACATAGATAGATAGATAGATCAGCAGACAGATAGATAGATACATAGATAGACAGACAAACAGATAGACAGACAATCAGATAGATAGACAAAGACAGATAGACAGATAGATACATAGATAGGCAGACAGACAGACAGACAGATACATACATAGATAGATCAGCAGACAGATAGACAGACAATCAGATGGACAGACAGAAAGACAGATAGATAGATAGATAGATAGATAGATAGATAGACAGACAGACAGACAGAATGTGTCCAGTACAGTAGTTTAGAGTTGAGGCCGAATCTCGACTCTCACTGTAAAATATTTCACTAATATCACTAATAAACTGTCACTAATCAATAACAGAACCTTTTAATAAAGTCTAATCTGTCTCTAATCACCAACACTGTGATGAATAAGATCATGTGTCCTACCTTTCTAGTGGACGGCTGGCGCTCTCTCTCCTTTCTCTCCTTCTCTCTCTCTCTCAGCTCTTTCAGCTGCAGTTCTTTCTCCAGCTCTCTGAGTCTCAGGAGCTCCTGGCTCTCTTCCTTCTCCATTCTCTCTCCCTCCATCATGATCTGCAGCCTCCACTGGACCATTTCTATCTCCTTCTGTCTCTCCCTCTCTCGCAGCCTCCTCCTCTCTTCCAGCTTCCTCCTCCTTTTCTCCTTCCTCTCTCTCTTCTGCTCCATCTCTTTCAGCTCCTTCTCTCTCTCTATCTCTCTCCGAAGCTGTCGGAGACTCTCCTGCTGTCTCCACCTCTCCAGGAGTCGGTCCTCCCTGCTGAAGAAGGCCAGCTTGGGCCAGCAGTTGCCCCCCCAGCACCCACAGGCTGTGGGAGGACTGGGCGGGGAAAGCCACTCTTGCTCCTGGTTCATGGTTCTTCTGGATTTAGAAGACAAAACCACAGTATTAACCGTTAAATGCAAACCTCGGGGTGCTGCAGCCTCTGAGCTCATTTCTGCTCCAATATCAAAATAGAACAATATTTATTTATGCTGTCTCAAGAAAGCCAACTTAGGGGACGGCAAGGGGGCAAATATATAGTATATTATACTTATTGTGTCATACAATACCTCAAGACATCATCACAATACAGGATAGCCATCACAGTATTTAGTTTTTCTGAGATTAAGTTAGTTTGAACAGACAAAACAGATCCTGTTTTGCCGCATTTCTTCCCTTCCGATACTGATGCCTGATCCTTTAGTATCGATACCGATATTAACTCTCTCTAACCGAACTCACTTATCCTGATATTTATACAATTACATTTAAAAAAATATTTTATTTTGGTCAAATATATGATCTACGTCACAAATAAAACACACTCAGCTTGGCTAGACAGCATTTACATATTGGATTACATTTATTAGATGCTTAAGAAAACTTATTTTTGCTTATTTACTGTAAATATTTAGTATTTACTATTATATAATTAGTAACAAGAACCATGTTTAACAACTTCAGTAAATGTAAAATATCTTTAATGCAAAACACTCTAAACTGTGGTGTTTACATATCAGCGCACAGCAGCTTCTCTGGCTCAAAAACGGAGCTGAATGTTGTTTCACATCCAAATTTCTCACGTTATTTGTCTCATATGAGCGTCTTGTTCAGTCGTGCTGCATTTCTGAGCGTCAGTTCAGTGAATATCACCGTCATTCTCGCTGTCAGTTTAAGCAGCTTTCAGTGTTTTTTCAGTCTTGGATGAAACGACGGGCCGCGAGACCCCGCTGCCGAGTGATACAGCTGACCGACGGAGGCGCACCGCATGCGTGGCTAGTGGACGCACAGGCCCGGCTAGCGGGCGGCCATGCTAAAGGCTAAATCGAGGCTAAATGCTATCATTACGCCAAGAGTCCGGCGTTTCCTTCCGCTCTCAAAATAACATTAACTCAGACTGTAATTGACCAAACAGCGGCAAACGAGTGATTACTGAAAGAAGCAGCTCGGTATCGGTCATATGTATCGGTATCCCCGGTATCGGTCATATGTATTGGTATCCCTATCACCGATACGATACTACGTTTAAGTGCCAGCATCGACGCCGATACCGATACAGTATCGGTATCTGTGCAACACTAGTTGCCACATATAAAAAATTATTATTAATAATAATAAACTTACAACTACAATTATTTTTAGTTGGTGTTTTACAAACCGCACTGCACTAAATCCAATTAAACAGGCCTAATTATGCTCACTTCGCAATGAAACATGTAGTTGTCCAGTGTTCTTTCAGTACTGACGATATCCACAGTATGCTCAGAAAAGCATATTGTAACATAATTTATCATGATAACAATAAAATATCACCATATTGCCGCCCCTAAACCAGCTCACTGTTTTCTCCATCATTTCTTTTTCCCCCAAAGAGAAAAAACACTAACCTTTCTACAGCTTTTCAGCTACAGCCTCCAAATTTCACTTATTTCTTCCTTCAATCGAAGAAGACGATCGATCTTTCCTTCACTCACACGACGGAATGTTCAGCGCAGCTTAAATTCTACCTCATTTAAGGCCCATTGTGATGTCATCGCCGCATCACTGCCATGCTCATAGGCTCCGCCCACCACCCTACAGAACCTGTCCACTAAACACCATTAACTAACAATAAAGCCCACCACCTATAGGCCTATCTCTGTATACTGACAGCACCGTCCACTCATCCACCTCACCCTTCTATCTTTTTATTCATCCCTCCATCCTCCTATTCAAACCCACTTATTCTGGAACTTTCCATGAAATTTCAACTTGTAGCCATAAAACTCCTAAATGTCCACTATTTTTACCCAAAATGTACAAATGCAGTTCACATTACATTCATCCGTCAATGCTTGCTATTCTTTCATTCATCCCTCCATCCTCCCAGTAAATCCACTGAGCTGCTACCTCAAAGGTAATAGTTTGAACTGATAGCAGTCGTCTATGTTTGTAACTCCTTGGAACTCACAGCCGGTTCTAGCAGGGTTTAATTAAGACAGCTGAGGTCCACTTATGACGTTTGTGTGGTTTTACGTACCAAATTCCTTTTAACGTGAACATTTTCACACCTCTCTTTATCTCTTAGGGTTAAACATATCTGAACAGAAACACTGCAAATCGTCAACAAAGCTCAATGAGTCTGTTCATGTTCATCATACTGATAAACACGTTCTGTACAGCTTAAATTTAAGCATGAACTGTTTTGAACCCTGACAAAAAGGCTTATATTGATGTAATGTAGAAAATTGTTTATCAAGAAGAAAGTAAGTACAAGAATCTACATTAAAATCTACATGTTGAGTATTTTTACTGCAGCTTATCGTCTCACACCTCCGACAAGTTCTGTCTACTGGCACCAGAAACTGCTTTGTGGTATCAGTCATATGTATCTGTATCCCCATCACCGATAGCGATACTGCATTTAAGTGCCAGCATTGGCGCCGATACCGATACTGTATCAGTATCTGTGCTACACTAGTTGCCACATATAAAAAAATAATAATAATAATATTAAACTTACAACTACAATTATTTTTTATTTAGTGTTTTACAAACTGCACTGCATTAAATCCAATTAAACAGGCCTAATTATGCTCACTTCGTAATGAAACATGTAGTTGTCCAGTGTTCTTTCAGTACTGACGATATCCACAGTATACTCAGAAAAGCATATTGTAACATAATTTATCATGATAACAATAAAATATCACCATATTGCCGCCCCTAAACCAGCTCACTGTTTTCTCCATCATTTCTTTTTCCCCCACAGAGAAAAAACACTAACCTTTCTACAGCTTTTCAGCTACAGCCTCCAAATTTCACTTATTTCTTCCTTCAATCGTAGAGACGATCGATCTTTCCTTCACTCACACGGCGGAATGTTCAGCGCAGCTCAAATTCTGACTCATTTAAGGCCCATTGTGATGTCATCATGACATCACAGCAGTGCTCACAGGCTCCGCCCACCACCGTACAGAACTGATCCACTGAACTACAATATGTACCACTAAACACATGACATCCATTCATCAAGGCCTGCTATGCTTTCTTCCATCCCTTCATCCTCCCAGTAAAACAACTGAGCTACAATCTCTCTGTATATCTATCTACAGTGGAGGAAATAAGTATTTGATCCCCCACTGACTTTAAAAGTTTTAATACAAAAAAATAAATGAAACGCCTCATAATTTTATGCCAGCTTTATTTTAACAGTGACACATAGAATATCAAAAGAAAGACTGAGAAAATTACATGAAATGAGAAATAAAAATGAATTTGAATTTCATTGAAGGAAATAAGTATTTGACCCCCTAGTAAAACATCATTTAATACTTGGTGGCAAAACCCTTGTTGGCAAGCATAGCAGTCAGACGTTTCTTGTAGTTTTTTATAAGGTTTGCACTTCAGGAGTAATTTTGGCCCACTCCTCTCTGCAGATCATCTCCAAATCCTTAAGGTTTTTAGGCATGCATTTGGAAACACGAAGCTTCAGCTCTCTCCATAGATTTTCTATGGGATTGAGGTCAGGAGACTGGCTAGGCCATTCCATGACCTTGATATGCTTCTTATGGAGCCACTCCTTTGTTTCCTTGGCTGTATGTTTTGGGTCGTTGTCGTGCTGGAAGACCCATCCACGACCCATTTTCAGTGCCCTGGCGGAGGCAAGGAGGTTGTCACCCAGGATTTTGCGATACATGGCCCCGTTCATCTTCCCGTCGATGCGGTGAAGTTGGCCTGTGCCCTTAGAAGAAAAACACCCCCAAAACATAATACTTCCACCACCATGCTTGACGGTGGGGATGGTGTTCTTAGGGTCATATTCTGTATTTTTCTTCCTCCAAACACGTTGAGTTGAGTTGAGGCCAAAGAGCTCAATTTTGGTCTCATCTGACCACAGCACCTTCTCCCAGTCTTTCTCGGAGTCATTAAAATGTTCATTGGCAAATTTGCGGCGGGCCTGGACGTGAGCCTTCTTGAGCAGAGGAACCTGGCGTGCACTGCAGGATTTTAAACCATTACGTCTCAGTGTATTACCAATGGGTTTTTTGGAGACTGTGGTCCCAGCTGCCTTGAGATCATTAACCAGCTCCTCCCGTGTAGTTCTTGGCTGATTTTTAGCCTTTCTCATGATCAATGAGACTCCATGAGGTGATATCTTGCATGGAGCTCCAGGCCTAGGTCGATTGACAGTAATGTACTTCTTCCACTTCCGAATAATTGCACCAACAGTTGTCACCTTCTCATCCAGCTTCTAACTTAGGGCTTTGTAGCCCATTCCAGCCTTGTATAGGTCAACAATTTTGTCCCTGACATCTTTAGACAGCTCTTTAGTCTTGCCCATGGTGGAGATGTTGGAGTGTCACTGAGTCTGTTGGCAGGTGGCCTTTTATACAGGTGACAATTTGGGACAGGTGTCTCTCATGCAGGTAACGACTTCACTGAGATTAGGGTGTGTCAGTGGTCTGTGGGAGCCAACATTAGTCATGGTTTTTAGGGGATCAAATACTTATTTCCCTCAATGAAATGCAAATTATTTTTTATTTAAATATTATTTAATTTTCTAGATTTTCTTTTTGATATTCCATCTCTCACTGTTAAAATGAAGCTACCATAAAAATCATAGACTGTTTAATTATTTGTCAGAGTACAAACTTTCAAAATCAGTGGGGGATCAAATACTAATTTCCTCCACTGTATCTATGCCTGTATGTTTGTCTGTGTATCTTTCTAACTGTCTGACTGTCTGTCTGATAAATTAAATTGTATGAAGCAGGTTCTTGTTTACTTTTTATATCAATAGCATTATACTACATAAAAAATATGTATTGTATTTAAAAAAATGATTTGTCACAGAGATTTTGGCCACTGGTGTCATCATATAAGGACACTTTCATTAAATTTTAATGTGGTATTTCCAGCTCTATTAAACTGCTTCCTTGGTTCAACGGTCATCAGAGAGGAAGCATCTCAAGGCATGAGAAGGTGAGTACAGTAGTTTAGAGTTGAGGCCGATCTCGACTCTTACTGTAAAATATCACAAATATCACTAATAAACTGTCACTGGTCAATAACAGATCCTCTCACTACTGACTAAACTATCACTAATCACCAACACTGTGATGAATAAGATCATCTGTCCTGCCTTTCTAGTAGACGGCCGGCGCTCTGACCTGACCAGGAAGTCACTAGAGTCACAGTCACTGGTGTTACACCAGGTTCAGATAACAGCTGTGACATGTAGTGACACCAGTGACTAATGTTAATGTCATATATGATTAAAACACTTGAAAAATAAAAATAGACATTAGATTTTTAGCAGTGTTTAAGTCTGTTAGTGCTTATTTTGTTATTTTGCTAGCCAGGCTAAGTCTGGCAATGGCCAAACAGAGTGAAGGAGAGGGCAGAGACTGTATAGGCAATGTACAGGTTCAGGTAAAGTAGCTTACAGTCCTGAGACTGGACACTTTAAAAACTAATGTTTTGTTATGAAATATGTTCTCTGCTTCTTACTAAGTAACATAATAGATTTTTTTTTTGTTCACAGGGGAACATATAATTTTCAGTGTCCAGTGTACTGGACATTTGGACTTGAAATGAAATGTAAGAGATTTTGAATTAACATGTTTTTAATCACCAGCAGAACAAGACACAAAGCAAATACTGAACTTTTTCTGTGTTTACTGTATGTACAGTTGCATAAAAACGGTTCTGAACTCTTGGAACCACCTGGGCTTCTGCAGGAACAGCTCCTAAAATATGAAATACTTGTCGCTGGTGTTACAGATCTGTTATGCTAAGGTGTTCTTTTTGATGAAATGTCATCTGTATTAAGACTATCTTACATGAAATGTTAGAATAATTCATTTTTGCTCCAATCTTTTATCTCAGTAGTTATATTTTCATGTTTATTGTATGACGATTTAATCTTTTTTTTAATAGTATATGGAAGTACATTAAATTGATAAAAGCATCTGTATTTTTGTGGTTTTTAGTGCGTGTGTGTGAGCTTTGGTAACATGATTAATCACATTGAATTTCTTCAATAAAAAACAGTCACGTTAAATGTAAATGAAAAATAAGTACATTTATAACAAAAAGAATGCATTATAAAGGGGTGACTGTCCATGTAGTAGTAGGCCTGAGCGAAACGGAGGGCAATCTTATATTTACCGTATCATTCAGTACCGATAAATGCATTTTGTACAGCTGAAATTTAAGCATGAAGAGTGTTTTGAACCCTGATGAAAAAAGACTTATATTGATGTAATGTAGAAAAATGTTTAACAAGAAGAAAGTAAATAAGTACAGAATCTACATTAAAATCTACATGTTGAGAACGCTGTGCAGCAACTGGGCCTTTACATTCAACAGTCAGACTGCAAACTGTCTCTGCAATCAGCAAAAATAAATAAATATTTTTTTTACTATAATAAGATATTTAACTCTCTCTCCAGAGCTCAGTGGCTGACTGTGCTGTCTGTGCTGCTGCTCTGTTCTGTGACGAACAGCTAGACGTCTCCAATCCCATCCAGAGACATAAAGGACTGAAACTCAGGTCTCTGCTGCTCATACAGGACTGAGGAACTAAACAGCACTGTTTTCTCAAAAAAACCTTCTACAGCTCTACAGTCAGAGCTGATCAGTTTCACCTGACTGTGTTAAGCAGGCTGGACGCAGTGTGTAGTTTTATCAGTATGACAGCAATAATGACCGTCTCTGAATGTGTCCTGGGTCCCTTCAGCAGTGCTGCTCTGTGAGCTACCTAATAAAGCATGCTATACTCCCCAGTTAGCACAATTTATCTGGCCCACTTGTGGGACACATCCTTGGTTTTGTTCTGGCCCATATGCTGTAAAACGAGAATAACTAATGGATGTGGTCCAGATGTGGCTCATCCAATATAAAATGAGTGCAACTAACGGGTCTGGCCCATTTACCGTGAAGTGTGTAAGACTAACAGCTGTGGTCCAGATCTGGCCAATATGCTGTGAAACAAGAATAACTGTTTTGCCTTGCAATGCCCTGCATGTACCCTGAAATGTCTTAAAAGAATACATTACAGAAGAATACAGGAGAATACAGGCCAAAACATTGCATCAAAACTATTGTTAAACAACGTCTCAGGGCATCAGCAGTGTACTCACACCCATTTCATGTAATAACTTTCTGTGAGGGAGCTTTTAGAGATGGACGTCTGGTTCCTATCACCACCACTGTGAACAATTCTGCCACTATACCACTCTGAATAACTGGTTACATCTTAATTTATCCAGATATTTTTAACAGGTGGAATTCTCCTTTAAGTGACATGCTGAAGAGGAAGTGATATCATGTAAGCCTTCAGAGGAGTGGTGTAAAGCACTGGACTCTGCAGCAGTGGAAACGTATTCTGTGGAGTGACCAATGACGCTTCTCTATCGGTCAGTCTGATAGACGAGTCTGGGTTTGGCGAATGCCAGGAGAACGTTACCTGCCTGACTGCACTGTGCCAGCTGTAAAGTTTGGTGGAGGAGGGATGATATGGGGTTGTTTTTCAGGGGTTGGTCTAGAACCATTAGATCCAGTGAAGGGAAATCTTAATGCTTCAGCACCAAGACATTTTGGACAATTATACACTTCCAACTTTGTGGGAACAGTTTGGGGAAGAACCTTTCCTGTTCCAGCATGACTGAGCCCCAGTGCACAAAGCAGCTCCTTAAAGGCCTGGCTGGGTGAGTTTGGTGTGGAAGAACTCGACTGGCCCTCTCAGAGCCCTGACCTCAACCCCATCAAACACCTTTGGGATGAACTAGAATGGAGATTGAGAGCCAGGCCCTCACGTCCAACATCAGTGTCTGACCTCACAAATGCTCTTCTGGATGAACAGGCGACAATTCCCACAGAGACTCTCCAAAATCTTCTAGAAGCTTCCCAGAAGAGTGGAAGCTGTTACAGCTGCAAAGGGGGACCAACTCCATATTAATGCCTATGGATTTAGAATGGGATTCATAAAAGCTCCTGTAGGTGTCTCAGTACTTTTGTCCATACAGTGTATATTTGTTTGGCACAAATCTTGTGGAATGAAAATGCACTGTTGAAGATATGGGGACATTTTGCTGCACCTAATGATGAGTCTTTAAATACAGGAGTATACAAGGATACGTACATGCTACAGGGATACATACATACAGGCCTTTGACCTTAGACAGTTAAGGCATGCTTTGGAGTCTGCTTCACTCCAGGTCAGTTCTACGCTGCTCCAGCACAGTCACTTCTGTGTTCTGTTTGAGCTCTGAATACCACTGTGCTTCAGCCTGCAGTAATAAAATCAGCCTAAAACATTAAATATTAACTCTGCAGCTCAGGCTATTGGTGAGTAAAGAAAACATGTAGGAAGGAACAGCTTAGCAGGTCAACAGAACAGCTTTTCTGTTGTTTCTACTGTAGAACTAAAGCTAATTTTAGGCTTGATTTACTGCATCTAATAAAAAGTAACCTTTTTTAATGATGAGCCCCTCAACAACATCAAAATGTTCATGTCTTCCATTACTGAACACTGGGTCCCCATAACGAGATAAATGCATGACTGCATACACACAGACACCTGCATGTGATCACGTAGCCAAAGTTAAGGCTGGTTGGCTGTGTGAGGTCAGTTAAAGGTACAGGCAGACCTACTCCTTCAGTAACCCAGCTCTCCTTCCACCTGCTGTCCACCCCCTGCACTTACAGCCTGCCTGCACTTGACCAAATATAAACTTCATACTATCATACTTGGCAGCAGGACGGCTTGCATTGGGGAGGAGCCTGCTGTTTCGACAGCAGGACAGACTGAAGGACAAACAGCCAGAGGAGAAAGAGAAAGTGGACCAGAAGTCGATCACCACAGAGAAGAAGGACAAAAATCCCACCTGATCATCCATCAGGACGAAAGTGTGAGTGAAGTTTTAATATACGTTCCATTTTTTTATGCTATAATGCTACCCAGGAACTTAGATATTTCCTTCCTCAAGTAACATGACACATGACCCACACTGAAGAGCTTGTTTTTCTCTACTCTGTGCGACAGTTAAACATTGCAAATCTGACATTCCATTTGTAGAAGCTTATTAATGCATGGAATTACTGATCTTATTAATTAATAATGTAATATTTGAGCTTTGAGGGGTCTAAGGTAATGCTTTGAAGGGCATTGTTGACTAGACAGCTTGCAGGCCTCAGCCTAAGAAATATGACATTACTATAAAGCATTTCACATAAAAATGATTATACTATTAATGTAAAAGTAAAAATGAGAAAATAAAATAATGAAGTAAAGAAAAGAGACAACCTCACATTTCTGTGAATATAAAGCTAATATTCAGATTGTGCTTATTTATGAGTCCTGCATTTGGTTTCTTATAATTGCTGAGTTACAGTCAGTCTTTTTAAAGGGGAATACCATTAATTTTTCCCAATTTCTGCAAAATTATATAATTGAGATGTGAACAGAGTCACTCAGATTGGCTTGGTGTGAAATGGTTGATAGTAGAGACTCAGATTTCTTTGCAGTGGTGGTGATAGGAACCAGGCGTCGCCATGACTACAACACAGATATAGACAGTTTATTTACTATCCAAAACCACCAGTGAACCAACAGGAGTCTTCAGAGTTTTATATGGAATGTTGAAGATGGGAAAAAGTGTTAGATCTGGAAAATGAAGTTTTCAGGCATCAAATTTGTGAGGGAGCTTTTAGAGGCGTCAGACGTCTGGTTCCATTCAAAACCGCAGTGAACAATTCGGACTAAAACAGAGCATTTCACATTGAACTACTCTAAATGACTTTGTTTACATCTTAAAACTTTGCTCATATTATGAAAAGTGAGTGAAATTAAGCCAATATTGATTTGATTAATGTACGCTGTTTACTAAGTTTAAACAAACAATATATGAATATTGAGAACATATCCAGAGTAAATACCATATATAATTTTTTACATATAGTATTCCCTCTCTAATTTACAGGTAGCCTAGCCTTTTGAAATAATAGCAGCTTGTATGCTTGAAAAACTGAAATAACTTGTGAACACTACCTGTAAAGTCGTTTTTCTTGGGAAACGTTTCTAACGTTATGATAAACTATTGATAATGATAAACTATTTTTTCTTTTTGCATAATATGACATATTTGTGAGTGAAACAATATCTGAGAGGGTCTCTGAGCCAGCTGAGCATTTTCTCTCCATTTTCCCTCCGGTGGGAGGCAGAGGTGAAACATGGTACTATTGATTAATGATTAATATTACTTTGCCCCACCCACTGATGCACAGTGACATCAACAAAAATCAGATGTTGTTTTAGAGGCGGGGCAAAATCACAATCTGATAAAAGAAAGGATTTAATATTATAAATGATATAAGTATGCATCCTTATTATGACCACAGACGTGAAATAACAAGGTAAAATTTTGGATTTCAGGTTGACTTTTACTGTACCTTTGAAAGCACGTCGCTGCTGTCGGAAGAAAACCTCGTATCTCCATTTTTGTTGTTTTTCAGTTTTTTGACATAATTTGAAATGCCTGTTGCTCTTTACATTCTGTGTAAATTTCATGAAGAATGGACCCAAAGAAACGGCCCAAAATGATATGGAATTCTGGTTCCATTGACTTACATTAAAAGTAAAGTAGGTTTTTTCCTTCTCCTGTAAAGTTACCATTTTGGAGATACAAGGTTTTCTTCCGACAACAGCGACATGCTTTAACCCCACCTTTAATTCTAGTTTTCTGAGATTAACAGCTCTTAATCCATAATCTACTCCACGTTGCTGTTTGTCTCAGTTCAGATGCGCCAATCGTCTCAGTAAATATAAAGGTGTAATATGCTTAAGTGTTTTTATTGTCTGGCCTGCAGAGGGATGGCTGCGTCTGCCTCGTCCATGGTGGCACGGCGGGTCCTCGCTGCTGCGTCACATGGCCAAGAGGGAGGAGGTCTGAAGATTATATCTTTATTTATATATCTACAGTGTGTGCCTGTGTCCTTACCTCACTGCTCATGTAACTCATTAAGTCTATGATTCCTCACGTGAAGCCAGTTTCAAAACAATGTAGGTGACCCTTCGTGACTTCAGTAAACTCTTGATGGCCACAGCTATCAGCAGCAATTATAAACACATGGGGTAATTGTGTATGAGTTATTCCTCACTCGTAGTTCTTAGAAAGAAGTGGAGAAACTGTGTGGAGAGTGCAGATTCTGACACATTAGCGTTCCCAAGTTCTATTTATTTATTTATTTATTTGGAAATAGCTGTTTAGTTTCACAAAAATACATTGACAAAATGCATCAATGCTACTTAAACGTATAGAGAAGTGAATATACAGCGGAATGCTGAGTGCACAAATCCCAGCCTATGACAGCTTTTCCAGTATTTTAGAAATATGCTCCTCTAAAACAGAACTATTTACAGCAGAACATAACAAGGGGGAGTCTGTAAGTTCATGATGAGATCATTTTTTTTCACTTACTTTGATGGAAAGTTGTTGCTGTGCTAACAGTCTCGTTTTGCTGAAATAAACAGCAGCACTTCTGACATTTTTGTGGCATCAGAAATACAATCCATACAGAATATAAACCTAATGTAAATGTAATTCCTTACACACAGTGGGGTCCAGAAGTCTGAGACCACTGGCAAAATGCTTCTATTTGGCAGTTCTTTACAATGTAATACATGATTGTTCATTACAAATAATATTATCAGCAACAATTTGAGTGAGAAGTAGACATCCACAAGTTGGTGCAAAAGCTGCTGGTCAGTAGATCAAATGCAAAAATGTGTTTCACTGGAAGAAATAAGAATAAATCTGAGCTGTTTGTTTAAAGGTCTTAACATGGCCAATTTCACAGATCGGCTTCAATAGAGACCTAAAAATAGTGCAGAATTTCAAACATTTTTTATTATTAATATTTGTCACAACTTTTATTTGTTTAAACATTTTTTAAGGCCTAAAACCTACTTATAGCTATTTCCAGATATTTCCAAAAAAAAAAAAATTTGGTCCTAGACTTTTGGACTCCACTATAACTATGTAAATAATTATGCAATTACGTTTAACAAGTTTAGCAAAATAACGGGAATAACTCCAGACTTTTAAGGGTTAATATCTAATAAAGTCACAAATTAAATCCTAACAGTATTTCCAAAGTAGACAGGCCTTCTAATGAGTGAATTCAGCTGCATTAAGTTCACCCATTGCTGGCACAAGTGTACACAGCTTATATAATCTCCAATGAAAAAAACCGACCAATAGAATGGGACACTCTGGAGCAGCAACACATGAGCCTGAGGCCACCATGCCCAATGCCAAGCGTGGGCTAGAGGGGTATAAAGCCCCTGTGGAGCAGTGGAACTGTGTTCTCTGGAGTGATGGAGCTCCATCCAATACCTTTGGGATGAGCTAAGTGATCCAGAACTGCCCATCCAACATCAGTACCTGACCTCACTAATGCTCAATCATATCCTCACAGCAATGTTCAACACCCAGTGTAAAGCCTTCCCAGAATAGAGTAGAGGCTGTTACTGCAGCAAAGAGGTCAGACTCACTACTAACACCCTTCATTTCAGGAGAAACGCTGGACACACAGTGTGTATGCAGGCACTTCAAAGTTGTGAATGATATTTCAAACTGCTGTGGTCAGTCAGTCACAGTCTACACTGGTATATAGATGGTGACAGTGAGATGTTTTAAAATATCCTGGTAAGCCAGTGCAGGTTTAAGCTTGTAGCCCTCAGTTTGGTGGGATATACCCTGGATCTGGAGTTCAAAACCATCTTGAGCCAGTTTTAATAATCTGCAGTGGAGTCGATCAAATGTGCATCAGCTTTACATGTAAATTCCACATTGATCTCCATTAAATTGTGATGCCTGACCAGATATCAACGTATCCAGTTTACCAGTCAGTTCTGGAAGCTAAATAAAACATATTCTACTGTATGCTGCATTACAGTGCTAACATGAACGTGATGTTTTCTGACTGAACTCACAGTAAAGACCTGGAAGATGCTGACGTACTTGGTGGCCTTGCCCGGCGTGGGTGTGTGCATGGTCAACGCTTACCTGAAGATGACCGCTCACGCTCACGAGCCACCGGAGTTCATTCCATATCCACACCTGCGCATTCGCACCAAGGTGAGCCCAAGCTTCGCATAGTGGACCTGAAGAATGAACACATAATGCAATAGTGCTCAAATCACAGCACATAAACTAACAATTAAAAACTGTCTGTAATATAAAACCTGTTTGGTTGCAGACGTGAATGAAATGATTCTAATATAAAATTAAAATACAAAATCATTGTAAATATATAACTTTTACACACAATTTTCTATTTTAATTCTTAAGTGTCTTAAAGGGCAACTCCACCAATTTGTCAGAATTTCTGCATACAATGTCAACAGTAATTCAATGGTTTGATGTCAAATAGTCAACTGTAGATAAACTTACCAGGGGGACACAATGTCTACAGCACAAATATGGCTATTTTATTTATTATTCAGAATAGCCTGTGAACCTACACGTGTCTTCTGAGTCTCTAAATGTAATGTTGATCATGGTTAAATACAACGTACAATGTCTAAAGCATCAGGCAGTCTATTTATAACCATGTCATGTAATAGCGTTCTGTGAGGGAGCTTTCCTAGGCATTCAGATGTCCGGTTCCACCTCTGAGAACAATTCTGACTCGGCACGTTTCTCTAGAACGGACCATTTCACATCAAGCCAGTCTTAATGACCTAGTTTGCGTCTTAACCATTTAATCCTGCAGGAATTTTGAAAATTCGGTGGAATCCCCCTTTAAATAAGTACCTCAAAAACTTAACAGTTAAAAAACCAAAAGCCCTCTGAAATGCCTTCTATTCACATGCAGAAGAAAGGAATTGAGTCCTGGGTCATTCAGGGTCAACAATACTGAATTGCATGTATCTGCTAAAAAGACAGTAGTCCAAACGGTCAGACGGTCAGACTTTACCGAGTCACGTCTCTCTCTACATCTCTTACAGCCTTGGCCCTGGGGTGACGGAAACCACTCTCTTTTCCACAACGCTCACACCAACCCCCTGCCCACCGGTTACGAGGGCTCTCACCACTGAGCGCAGCGCCACCTGGTGTCCAAGTTTAACTGTGCACCCTAAAACCTGTCCCATCGTCTCTCTCCACCAGTCCACTGCACAGCAGCTCAGCATCTGGATGGAGAGAGGAGCTGTCAGCTTTGACACAAATAAAGCACCTTTTTTGTAAACATGACGTTCTGTGTTTGACCAAATCAATAATAAATAAATAATAATTATAGTTTCCTACCTGAACCTCTAATTAGTTCTCATAGTTTATGAGCACACACTGCAAGACATGACAGAACACAGGAAATAGTGGAGAAGGTAAAGTAATATTTATAGTGACACACATTAGCAGTTTGAACAGCCCGAGTCTAATCAGCTCTGGTTTTGTTGATTTTCTAAGTGAAAATAAGTTCTTATAGTCTAAAACACAAACGGGTCATTTTGCTTCTCACTTTAGTTCAGGGGTCGCAACCCAAATGGTAAGAAGAGCCATTTTGTCATTTCAACAAAAATCAAACCACCTTGGGAGCCACAACATTTTATGTTCATTTTACCATCTTGGCTGTAAATATGTCTCCGTATGTGCTGATGTACTAATATAGGATATAAAATATAATCCAAACGAAAACACAGACTTACTTTGCTCTGCTTTAAGCTTCAGCTCAGCTATAGCTGTTTTTCTCACATCTCCAGCAGGAAACTTTTCCACCAAAGTAGAACAGTTTCTTGTAAAATGTCTCAATGTTTGATTTTTTATGAGGCTGAAGTCGTTTCTCATTCAAATTTTCCCATTCCACCTTAAATGGCGCCATTTAAGGTGGAACGGGAAAATCTGAACGAGAAGCTGGCGAATGAGAAGCTGACTACAGCTTCATGACTTTAGTGTTTGTCAGTTTCTCAATGCAGATTAAACGGATCAGGAAACCAGCTGGAGTGATTATAAATGCAAACAAGTCCATCAGTCTCCAAATTATCGATGTTCATCTTAAATCTTTCTCTGTCTTTTCGTTAGCTACTGGCTAGGTGAGACTGTTTTCGTTGCTATGGTGACCAGCAGTCTCCACGTGAACATTCAGGGTTAAAGGGTGAATCAGCAGTTCCACATTAACTCCAGAGTTTAAGACCATTTATTGTTAAACTGTGTTGAACGATCAGCAGAGCTTTATTTTACTGTAAAGGATTATTATTTTAGTTTTACCTACAAATCTAATTCAGCTGTGGAATAAAAGAGACGCTTCCTGTTGTCGACTCCTGCTTTAGTGCATGATTTAATAGATTAACTTATTGGAAAAAATGAAACTTAAATAAAATGTTGCATAAATTTTGCACAGGCCACATTTTTTCCAATATGTTAAATTCAGCAAATCAACAGTAACTGTGTGCTCAAATGTGTAGAAGTGTTCTCTGTAGAGGATGTGTTGACATAGGAAATCACCCTGACCGGGGTGCCCAAACTTCTGAATACAAATGAAGAGATTATATGGACAAAATATGAACCACTATGCCAAATGAAAGCATCTTCACACAGAGTCAGGGTCATTAACAAAAGCATACACAGCTGCAGTGCAGAGGCTTTTTATTCAGATGTTTCATGGGGGGGGGCGTCCCTTAATTTTGGCCTTACAGACTTTTGCATATACAGCTCTCTGTCACAGGATGGCACCCTAACAATAAACCAACGGATTCCAATCTATTTCTGACACTTAATACATTCTATTTTTTGTTTTGTTTCTTTTTTATAGAAAAATTAAGAAATGAAAAATATAACAAACATTACTCTATCCCTGTTATCTCCTTAATGCACATTATACACTGTACAAAGTCACAAACTACTTCAGTATATATATATATATATATATATATATATATATATATATATATATATATATATATATATTCTTATGATACAACGCATCACTGAGTAAATAAAGTAGCTTTTTGAATGCAGCATCAACATCACATTCCTTAGGCCCATACGACAAAATTCATCTATGAACGTTAGTGTGCAGACGGGCGATTTTACAAAAAATAAACATCAATACATGAGCACTGACAGTAGCCAAGGTCCAAAAAATAATAATAATCATAACATCTAATAAGTCCACTTCATATCTGCACTGCACTTCATGAAAAAGTGGTCCAAAATGCAAATAAAAAGTAAAACTGACATATTTCTGTTCCCGTCGGTCCCAAAATGACAGGTCACTCTTAGTCCACTGTTTGGGTCTTCAACGCATTCAGCTCAGTTTAAACTGAATTTGGCCTCTCAAAGCTGTTGACTTTTCCATTCATCAATGGCCCCCAAACCTCTCGCTCATTGTTCTGCACACTCTGAAATTGACACTTGATTTTTAAGGACAGTCTTTAAATCCCGAATCGGTTCCTCCACTTTTTGCTGGCAGTAAACCGTTAAAAAGTCTTTTACAGCCAATATGACACGTCATGCCGATCAATGCTAAACGGATTTCTCATCATGTTTACTGGCGTGTTGGTTGTACAAACACATGGAAAGTCAATCATAATGCATTTATAATTTCGGGATGATGGGATGCTCAAATGGAAATTCCTGTCTGGAAATCTTATAAGCAAGCTTTCCGGTTGGCATGTTTGTTGAACAAATATATGGAAAGTCAATCATAACGCCAGCCTTGGTCTTTATTTGCTCTTTCCACTTCTTATTCCAGGCTGATAATCAAGAATTGGTCAAAAACATGATCAAGAACTGGAGAGCTGAACAAAAAAAGCTCACTACCTCTAACTCCATTAGCAGCATTAACTCAGCGCTGCTGTGGCCAGTTTGAGAAGGTCCTGGCGCAGGCTCTCGGTGCTGTCCGCCTCCCTGGCGAGCCGGAGGAGGCAATCGGCGGACAGGGATGGAGGCAGCGGGGTGTTTTGGGCCTCCTGAGGCTGCAGCAGTGTCAACAGACAGGCCCGGCTCAGCCTGGAGTAGGAAAAGCGCTGAGAGAAAGAGTACGCCTGGGGAAGAAGTGACTGCAAAGAGCCGAACTCAGTGCCCTCATCCACACTGGACTCCTCCAGCAGTTTACAGTGTTGTCTGGAACACTTCGCTCTTTGCTCTGATGGCTGGCCGTCTGCTGCGGTCTTGGACTCTCTGCATACAGACCCCAGGCCAAGCTTGGTCTTTTTAGCCAGGTCACTTGTTTTACATGGAAGGCCTGGAACAGACGAAGCCGCAGAAGAAAGCAGGGACACACACGAGTCCTCAGCTGCCTTCTGTAATCCAGGCACCAAAAACCTACTGGCTCCTACCATCACCTCAGCCAGGGGGCTTTTCTGAAAGGCCTTGTGCCCTTTCAGACCTCCAAAGACCAAAGAGGTCAAAACAAGACAACGTCCAGCCTCCTCATCCATGCCGTGGCCCACGCTGGTCATTCGGCAGCCATGAAGATAATGAAGCACAGGCAGCAGCATCCCTCTGCTCACGTCTTTGATGGGAATAGAATCAGACTTACTGGCTTCACCAAAGCCGCCCCTCAGCAAAGCACGGAAGTATTCAGATCCAACTTCTTCCATGCTCTCATCTCCAGCTACCGCTTCTCGATTGGCTGTAAGCAGAGTCCCATCATCCAGGAGAAAGCTGAGGTTGTGGGCTGATGCTTCGTAAGGGACAGGTCTCCAAATTCTGGGGACAACGATTGGACTCTTTCTCCACAATTAGAGGATTTTTGATCGGACTCTGTGGTGCCTCCACTGCCGTCTTTCTTCTTTCCAATTCCACCTTGGAATACGCCAGTATACTAGAGAGGCAGCCAATCAGAAGGGAGACGTACAGGGAATGTAGTTTAGAGACGGACACCTGTTCGGGTGGACACATCCACGCCGAGAGGAATGTTCTACATTTATCGGAGTGGTCGCTTTCATCGTCGCCGCCGTCCATGCAGCAGAGAGGCTCAAGAGCGAATGTCAAGCCTCCACTATCCAAGAGCAGCTTCTTCAAAAGAACTCGGTTACTGTAAAAGGGAAATTATAGATCCGTTAATTGTTTTCATTAGGAAAACTACATCCTTACACTCTCACTAAATCCTTCCACTGATCGTTGCTCTCGTTATCAGCTGTGTTGCAGCAAGTATTCTGCAAGACTGCGGCTATAGACTCTGCAGCACTAACGACAGCAACAAAAGCGAGCATCAGACCTACCTGGTTAGCAAAGGCAGAGAGAGGACACAGTACAGCTTGTCGGATTCTGAGCCTGAGAGGACGATATGGCTGAGAACTCCAGAGCCGAATCCAGTCTCACTCTGAACACGAACGTTGCTCAGCAGCCCCTGACCTACAAGGCAAGTACAACACAGATATTACCTACAAACTCTCAAATTCTGTATAATGCTCCCTTACAAGGTCAGATACAAGATAAACTACGTGCATAAGGAAGGAGAAAATCAAAGGAAAACAGGTAAAAATGACTAGTTTTCAAAAAAATGTAAAAAATATATAAAGCAACTGGGGCTCCTAACAGCCACACAAGACCTGGTCGACACCAAACACTGTCCCCATCAGATAAACAGCACTTAAAGCTTTCATCTCTGAGAGAGAGGAGAAAATCAAGCTGCTTCAGATCTGAAAACACCCACAGGTGTTTCTGTCCATCCTTCCACTGTGAGAAGACGACTCAGCGCTGTGGGTCTGAAAGGATGTGTAGCTGTCAAGAAGAACCTCACTGAGAAAAGGAGACGGACACATCAAACAAAGAAGCTGAACGATGGACTGACCACCCCAGAGTCCAGACCTCAACACCACTGAATGTGTTTGATTACTTCAGAAAATGATCAACCAGCTTCTAAGACTGAACTTTGGAGGCGTGTCTGCAGATCTGAGACACTGAAAGTGAGTCTCCTGAAAAGAATTTGTAATTTTCTGTTTAATATTCATTTTCTGCTTTTTTTTGATGCTAAAATATGAATAACTTGTACTTTATGGCTATTTTGTTGTCAAAAACAAAGGCTGTGTCTAGAATCACGCACTACACCACAATTATATTGATGAATGCGCAATAAACTTGGTGCACTAGAACAGTAGTATGTGGTTTTGGACACAGGCTTTATAACAGGAGGGAGAGACAGGTCACTGGTTGAAAAATATGAATAGTACCTGATCAGATTTTTAAAAATAAGTTTTACCAAAACTATTCTGACTGTGTTTCTCTAAAATGAAGCATTTCACATTAAACCACTCTTGAATTACTTGAAAACCACTGTTTGCATGTTCACTACTTAATCATGTAGACTAGGACTGAACGATTTTGCCAAAATATCTAATTGCGATTTTTCTGACCAATATTGTGATCAGGATTTAAACTGCAATTGTTTATAACTGAGGTATAAACTGAGGTTCGGGCCTTTTTTGGGTAAGAAGACCAGCATATATTTCTTCCTGTCTTGAGACTTGAACTGATAACACTGTTAGTGCACCAGTCTGCCACTTATTTGTGGTTGTGATATCACAACAGTTCACAAGCTCCATGTTATTAGGTGACATTTCCCTACATAAAACGTTTACGTTGTTGATAATAGTTTTACAGTCTATGATAAAAATTGCAGCTCTTGCAATTTGAAAATTGCACATTTTCAAACTGTGATTTTGATATAAAAACGATTCATTTTTCAGCCCTAATGTAGACATTTAGAACAATTACTGTGTACTGAAGACTGACCGTTACCTGAAGGCTGAAATTTAGTTGTTTAATTTAGGGCTGTTTTTGCTAATACACTGACCAGACATGTCATTATGACCACCTCCTTGTTTCTACACTCATTGTCCATTTTATCAGCTCCATTTACTATATAGGTGCACTTTGTAGTTCTACAGTTACAGACTGTAGTCCATCTGTTTCTCTGCATACTTTGTCAGCCCCCTTTAAACCTGTTCTTCAGTGGTCAGGACCCCCATGGACCCTCACAGAGCAGGCACTATTTGGGTGGTGAGTCATTCTCAGCACTGCAGTAACACTGACGTGGTGGTGGTGTGTCAGTGTGTGTTGCGCTGGTCTGAGTGGATCAGACCCAGCAGTGCTGCTGGAGTTTTTAAACACCTCAGTGTCGCTGCTGGACTGAGAATAGTCCACCAACCAAAAATATCCAGCCAACAGAGTCCTGTGGGCAGCGTTCTGTGACCACTGATGAAGGACTAGAGGATGACCAACACAAACTGTGCAGCAGCAGATGAGCTGTCGTCTCTGACTTTACATCTACAAGGTGGACTGACAAGGTAGGAGTGTCTAATAGAGTGGACAGTGAGTGGACACAGTGTTTAAAACTCCAGCAGCACTGCTGTGTCTGATCCACTCAGACCAGCACAACACACACTAACACACCACCACCACGTCAGTGTTACTGCAGTGCTGAGAATGATCCACCACCCAAATAGTACCTGCTCTGTGAGGGTCCGTGGGGGTCCTGACCACTGAAGAACAGGGTGAAAGGGGGCTAACAAAGTATGCAGAGAAACAGATGGACTACAGTCTGTAACTGTAGAACTACAGAGTGCACCTATATAGTAAGTGGAGCTGATAAAATGGACAATGAGCGTAGAAACAAGGGGGTGGTCATCACGTTATGCCTGATCGGTGTGTGATGCATCAGAAACAGACCGTACGCACCCAGCTGTCTGATTTTGGCCTTCACTCGGTCAGACTGTCTATCATTCCTCTTTCCGTCCCTCTCTCTCTTCACCTCTCGGAGGCACAGCCTGTGTCTGATTAGAGCCACAGCCCCGGTCCTGATCAGAGCCTGCAGGCAGTTCGGGTTGCAGCTGAGTCTGCCCAGCATGCGGAGGCAGCGGCCGCTGGGGTCGTGGTGGTGGGTGAGGTAGTAGAGCAGCCCGGAGATAACAGGGGCGTTAATGAGCACTCCGCTGGGGTCTGTGGCATGAGAGAAGCGGGACAGCAGCAGCAGGATGGGGGATTCGGGGGCCCAAGGCTCAGGGTGGTATGGGTGCTGATAGACTGGGGTCTTTGGCATTACTGGGGGGGCTTCCAAAGAGAGCAGGCTGGAGCAAGAGGTGGTGGACGAGGAAGAAGAGGAGGATGAGGATGTACGGGGCCGCTTCCTGGGAGGAGAAGAGACTTTCGGTGGAGAGATGGGGGCGGCCGGAGGCTTGGGCTGGGGGGTGGAGGTGCAGGTGGGGAGTAAAGTGGGAGGAGAATTGGGGGAGGTTTTATTCAGCGCACTCTGTGGAGAGGCTGAGGCAGAGAGGCGGCAGGGTTTGGGTCTGGGGGAAGATATGGGCTTCGGCAGAGAGGGTGCTGGGGAGGGTGCATCGGAAAGAGGGGTAAGAGATGATGTTGAGGAGGGAGAGCAGGACGGATGAGAGGTGACTGAATCTCCATCCGTCCCACAGGGGGATTCCATCAGCTCCCCTTCGGAAGAGATCAAACCCTCAGATACCAGCCAGGACCTAAAAGCAGGAACAGCAGCAAAAGACTTACATTAAAATCAAACAGATTAAATCTGAACACAAATATAAACTCAATACTCAAAAAGTTTCCTCCTCTCCTCAGAGCTGTAGCTGTGGAGATGTGTTTATTAGTACTAGCGTTGTACAACATAACGTCCTCTAGGAATTATCAGGTTCTATCTACACTCTGAGCAGTTCTGAGATATTAAGCTTTAAAGATTTTGGATTCTAAACAGCAGAACTGATATGTAGAACACGTCTCTTTCATACATGTAAATGACCGACTCTCTAAATTTATTCTAAATGTAAAATATCTAATTTGTAAGTTTTTTTTTGGAACAGGTCTTATGCAGATACAACTTTCTAATCCTAATAACTCATGTTTTGCTTGGATTTATAAAGTTCTGTTTGGCAAAACATGAAAAGAAGCAGAGATGTTCAATTATACTCATAACTTGTTTTAAAACATAAAACTAGTGTTGTAACAGAGTCTACTTGTACCAAAAAGACCGCTTTGGTTCAAATGTTTATTATTTAATTACCTTTAAGCCTTAATATTTCGAAAAAATTAAGACAATAAGAGTTTTTAAAGATCTGTAAAAAGACAGACGGTTTCAGCGACATGTTTTCATGTTTCGTAAGGTTTTGTAAGCTTTTCCTGCAGTCGCTGAGCAGAGCGGCGACATGATAAAGAAGCAGAACCTGATTGGTCCTCTTGTGTGTATCTGAAGTGATAGAACCTTATAGAACTAAGTTAGAGTTTGACTTTAACGATATAAGCTTTTTGTTTGCTAAATAAAGAGTCTAAAAATGCATACAAATCAAAAAAAAACAGCTCACGTAATGTTAAGAAGTTGTCATAAAATAATATGTGAATAACTCAATTTTGACAAAAAATAGAGTCAGATAGTCAGATTGAACCTTATAATTCCAAGAGAATGATATATTGTCTGATAAACCTTAGGTCAGAAAAGTAGATGTATTGATGTTCTTGAAAAAAAGAAACACTCAAAACAAACAGTTCACCACTGCATCCATAAATGCATGTTAAAACTCTAAAATGCAAAGAGGAAACTGTACATAAACAGGATCCAGAAACACAGCCACCTTCTCTGGGCCTGAGCTCATTTAAAATGGACTGAGGTTAAGTGGAAAAGTGTCCTGTGGTCCAACAAATCAAAATTTGAATTTTTTTTGGGAAATCATGGACACTGTGTCCTCCGGACTAAAGACCACTCAGCTTGTTATCAGTGCACAGTTCAAAAGTAAGTATCTGTGATGATACAGGGGTGCTTTAGTGCACATGGCATGGGTGACGTGCACATCTGTGAAGTCACCATTAATGCTGAAAGATATATACACGTTTTGGCAACATATGCTGCCATCCAGACGACGACTTTTTCAGGGAAGGCCTTGATTATTTCAGCAAGACGATGCCAAACCACATTCATGTATTACAGCAGCATGGCTCTGTATTAAAAGTGTCCGGGTGCTAAACTGACCTTTCTGCAGTCCAGACCTGTCACCACTGAAAACATTTGGCACATTATGAAATGAAAAATACGACAAATGAGACCCTGAACTGTCGAGCAGCTGAAATCCTGTATCAAACAACAACGAAAACATTTCACTTTTAAAACTACAGCAGTGTCTCCTCAGTTCCCAAACACTTACAGAGTATTGTTAAAGAAGAGGTGATGAAGCACAGTGGTAAACCGGCCCCCCGTCCCAACTTTTTTGGAATGTGTTGTTGGCATCAAATTCAAAATGGACAAATATGAAAAAAAAAATAAAGTAAAAAATTCTCAGTTTCAACATTTGATATGTTGTCTTCGTAATGTTTTCCTTTAAAAATATGGTTTATATGATTTGCACACCAGTGCATCCTATTTTTATTTACATTCTGCACAGCGTCCCAACTTTTTTGGAAATGAGATTGTGAGTTCTATCTAAATAAACATACAGTTCAGTTTACAATGAGGCCACGCCAAGTATAAAATACGTATGTTCACCTGAGGCTGAGGAAGCTGGAGGAGCCGGGGCCTTGCTCCTTCCCCATCTCCTCCCTTCTGCTCCCTTCAGGGGCTGGAAAGTCAAATGAATCGAAACAGGACGTCATCAGCTCAGAGTTGGAACCGGAGGACAAGCTGGCGTCCAGTTTGCCCAAACTGAGTTCTTCTCCTTTGGAAAGTTCCACCAGCCGGGCGACCAGCAGTGGCACCAGGCCCAGGTCCTGGAGCTGCTCCAGAGCTGACTCGTCGTAGACGAAGTCCACGCACGCCAAAACGGCCAATCGCGTGAGCGGATGGTTTGGATGGGCGGCCAGGAAGCCAATCAGCACCTCCAGCCCACCGCTCTCTTTCACTTTAGCCCTGTTCACCGCCTCTTTACAGCAGAGACATAAAGCCTTGAAAAACACACCAGACCTCAAGGGGTCTTTTTTAACTTCTTCCGCAAACTTCTGAATGACACCCAGTGAGCCCACCAGGGGGCGCAAGCAGCCTTGAGAGCACAGATTAGCCAAAGTCTTTAAAGCCAGCTCCTCCAGAGGCTTTTCTTCTTCTCCTGAAGCCAGCAGCCCGAGCTGAGCCAGCGCCCCAGACATGGACACCTCTCGGGCACATTCGGTGCCGCAGCCCCGGGTGAGCTCGTGGAGGGCACGGAGCGATGCCCGCCTCAGGCCCGGCGGATACTCCGGGGCGATGAAGAGCGCCAGAGCCGGAACGGCTCCCTGGGACAACAGCGAGAGGCGGTTGGCCGGCGTGTCGGACAGGTAGAGCAGAGCGCGGGCGGCAGACTGAGCGCGCTCCAGTTTGGGTAAAGGAAGGCAGAGCAGCCGGGGGGAGGGCAGAGGGAGAGGAAGGGGAGGAGGAGGAAGGTGAGGAAGGTGAGGTACAAGAAGGAGGGTTGGACAGGGCCAGGCAGAGCAGGAGAGGAGGAACACCACCTGCATGAGAGAGAGGCAGAGGTGGTTAAAGCTGATGGAATGGAGTGAAAATGTAATAATAAATGGGTTCAGCATTTATGAACTTTGGACAGCTGTTTCAAAATAGAAACAGATATGATTTCCTCACCACAGATCCAGCAGATTTTAGTGATTTCCCTGCTCAAACACAGCCTAGTACTCAAACAATTAACCGCTAACTGAATCGGGTGACTAGAACATGAAAATCGCCAAACTGCGCTGTACTAAAACCCAGCAGACCCCTGATCTAAAGGAATGATGAGTTCCCAGATGTAGTTGATCAGCGAAGACATGTTTGGTGTCCAAATTTTGCGTATTTAGTTTAGTGGTGGAACTACAGTCACACTTACATGCAGCCTAATTAGTTAATCCGACTAACAGCTCAATCGGAATAGAACACGTCCATGTATACGGAATAGACTAGTCCAATTGAGGCCATTCAGAATACAATCTCTATCCAATTAAATGAGGTGGGTAATCCTGTAAATAATCCATTAAACAGAAGAATAATATCTGTGTAAACGTCTGTATCTGATTACATTCCCTATCAGAAAGTCTAAGTCTGTTCTGATCATGTTCGTCACGTCATAGTGAAAGTTTATACCGTTCAACATGGCGGAGCAGAAACTGGTCTGCAGAGGAGACGAAGTTTATGCTCTGATCTTTAAAAGACGGCGGTGGGACGGACGTCCAGCTTATGTGTCTCAGAACACGACGTCTTCCTCTCGGCCTTCTTTAATAAGGACATGTGAAGGACGTTTTCCTGAGTCTGACGTCATTTTAATCTAATTAAAACACAAGCGCTGCTCACTGCTGCTCATCTCACTCTGACTGGACTCACGTGATGCTGGTTGTCCTGTAAAGTGTGCACTAAGTGGTCTTCCACGCATGCACATACTTTTATTCTACAATTCTAAGGGAGATTTTTCATCAGACTCTTGAGTAGAGTGCGAATAAACACCTCAGTCTTAATCTATAATTGAATGAATTCAATCGGATTGGCAAAAATCTTTGCATGTAAACACAGAGTATGAGGCGAACGTTGCTAACAAACACTAGAAGTCAATAATCACCAAAATATTTTCTGTAAACACAGCCCCAAAACGTTTTTTAACCCCCTCAAATTGCATACAGGTCTTCATTAAGGACACACAGACTTGTCAATGAGGTTAAGGACACAGTATGACTAACTATGAATTACAAAAATGAACAAACCTTCACTGCGTAGCACAACACGGCTCTGTTATTTCTAATTCGGAACATAAACATTCACTTAAAAATTCAAGACCAACAATTATTCATAAACAGAAAGAACCAGAAACTGTTACGGTTACACACCTGCGTGACGTGTGCACACAACAGGCGGTCAAATTTTGGTACAACACCTGTTTAAAGTGCTGCCTGCTGCCTTCAGATACTTAATTTTACAGTTCACAGTAAGTCACACTGTATCCTAAACCACACTGACAAGCCTGCGCAGCCTTAATGACGACCTCGATGGTGTCAGAGGGAGGGTTTGGGGATGTACTGAGGCATTAGTGTGTGTATATCACCCTTGTAGCTCCAGCAATAAAGAGGCAATATATATGTCTCTGCTGATTGGCTACATCTGGGTAAGTGGTAATCGTGTGAATTCGATTTTTCACTAAACCGTTCAACAAAGCTAAAATAAGGCAGTGAACACAACGGACCTGCTGCGTGAACCTGCGCAGAGCCCTCAGGATCCATGGCGAGATTTCCTAAAGCGCGAGCTGCCCGATTCTCCACCGTCTCCTCTGAGGCATGTCTCTTCAGGACCTCCACTGCAAACGTTAAACAGTACAACAGTGTGGACAAACACGATACACTGAGTTATTAATGCACTTTAAACGCCCAGGACCCACCAGCAGGTCCAGGCTTTTATTTACACACTTCTGTATCTTAAGGACAAATCAGCCAGTCTACACTGTTTTCCATGTAGTTACTGAATAATAAAAATTAGAATGTAATAAGCCAAGGATTTTAACTGTTACACAATCCAGGTTTATTTAATACAAAGGTATACTATTCAGTAACTACAGGGACTCCAATGCAAACTAATGGAGCTATTCTTAGGTTATAGAAGTATGTAATAAAACTCTGAGCCTGTCGGTGGGCAGCGGTTAAGGGGTTAATCTGTGAAAACCAAATTACTTACCCACAACAGAAATGCCATCCAGTTTCCTCACCTGAAAGGGACAAAAAAGAAACCAGATGTAATGAAACGTGGGAAAAGACAGATCTGCTCTGTCAACAAGGTCAAAGCGAGTGAATATAGAAGGCAAGCAGCCTGATATTTATTCCCTCTCTGCCTTGCCCCTACCTCTGCTCGAGTTTCCTTCTCTGTGCAGCAGTTGGCCAGGATGCTGAGGGCAAGATCCAGGACCTTCCTGGAGCTTTCAGGCCTGCGCAAGATATCCAACAGGGGAGGCAGCCCCCCCTTAGCCTGGTAGTGCACTATCCTGCTCCTTCCGCCTTTAACGTGCTGGGTCCGGATGGCCACCAGTGCCCGCCACTGCCCGGCTTTCAGCCTCTTATCGGCCTCTCTGCTGGTCTCTCTACCACTGATGGGCTTATTGTCTGCCCCAGTTAGTCCACTACTGGAGTTTGACTTGGTTAGTTGGGCCAAGCACCATGACAGTGAGGACTCCAGAGGAACAGAGGAGGCCTCTTTAGTGCCAGCTGTACCTTTTGGGTGTTTTCTTTCGCCCCCTGCCTGTGCTGCCATGGTCAGCCTGCAGCTCCTGAAACCCCCTCCGCCGCCCACCCACCGACCTCCCCTTACTGTCCACTAAGGCAGTTGCAGTTTCTCCTACGGCTTCCTTTAAACTTCTATGAATAAGTGTGAAAGGCAAGAATTATTCATGGTTTTAAACACAGAATAAAAAATTACAGTCCAAGCAAAAAAAAAAAGGCAAGAACTGAACTGAAAAACTTGAGTCCAAAAAAGTGCCAAATTACCTTTAAAAATAGTTAGCAAAACGACCGCGCACATCTACCGCGCACATTCAGCAAAGGCTGCTGGGAATTGTAGTTTTCCGTTACCTCCCTCGTCCGCTCGGTAAATAACACAAGGCCTGAAAGTAGGCCACGCATACACTAAACCTAAACAACGACGGTTAAGGATTTACTGTGCATATGTATCCGCATTCTGTCGCAAAGTGATAATGATTTGACATTAATCTACCTTCCTAGCGGCCTATTTCATACGTTCAAACAAACGCTATCGTCTCGGTTTTGCACTGACGCCATCTTTCGCAGAACGACGAAAAGAGAGTGGCAGGGGGAGGAAACGGGCAGCCCAGCGTTAATGGTTTGCGGGTATTGTAGTTCTAGTCAACCGTTATGTCGGATTTAATCGCGATTTTCTCAAAGTAAACCCGTTTAATGTACGACTTACGCATATATCGTCCATTTTGCTGGTTTAAGAGATCAACAAAGCCACGAATGTCGTTGCGAACGAAGAAACGGCTCGTTCGGAATTATTTCAGGACTGCATTTCCCATCATCCTCTACCCAAGCCGTCCCAGTTTAAGAAAACAAATCAAGTCAGATTGTTGTTATAGTCATCGATGTTGTGGAAGAGTCATCGCTACCAGTCTAGCGTTGTTAAAATCCACGATTACAGCAGCAACGGCTGGTAATATATACTAAAATCAGCAGGAGGGATGGAAGTGATTGAGTCGATAGTTACGGACGGGATTGAGGTGGAAGAGTCAACAGCCACGGTTTCGACGCTGGACTCGGAAAAGTCGAAAACAGGTAAAAGTGATGAATGTGTTCATGGAGGCGGTGAACAACGTGAGGTACCGATGGCATCGCTGCGTGCTTTTTTTTCTGTCCACATGATTTGGCCTTGAAATTTGAATAACTTTTCGAGATGATTTAAACAGTTCTTTAACGTACTGAGTCTAAAAGCAGAACTCATTCATACAGACACAGTAATGTAACAGCAGCAGAGTGGAGATGAGTTATCACACGTTATACAGCGTCTCTTCTGCATCACAAGTTTCAGATGTACTGCACATGCGCGTTATCGTCCTCTTTTAAAGGGAAATTCCACCATTTCTTCAAAACCTCTGAATAATCCAGTCCTTGAGATATGAACACAGTCATTGTGAGTGGTTTGACGTTAAATGGTTCACTGTAGAGAAACCTGCAGACTCAGATTTCTTTACAGTGGTGGTGATAGGAACCAGGGGGCGCCGTGTCTACAACACACACATAGCCATTTTATTTACTGTCCAAAACCACCAGTGAACCTACAGGGGTCTCCTGAGTTTTTATATGCAAGGTTGGTGATGTTAAAATAGGCATGAATCTGAAATAGGTAAGTTTTCTTTGGGCACTGTTTTGCCTCACATCCCCCTGCGTGTACCCCTCCACCGTCAATGGCTTAAAATAAATTGATTCAAATACATTTTAAGCTCAAATGTTATCACAAAACTGTCATAAAACAATGTCTCAGACATCAGGCGGTTTATTCATAACCATTTCATGTTACAACTGTGAGGCAGCTTTTAGAAGTGGACGTCTGGTTCCTAGTGTGTAGAGCAACAAATGAGGCTTAAAGATTCAGTAACTCATTAAAAATGTATATTTCATATTTTAATGTACATATTATGTATTTAAAAATACACACACACACCCTGACCAGCCAAGTCCACCTCTTTGCTTCTACACTCATTGTCCATTTAATCAGCTCCAGTTACCATATAGAAGCACTTTGTAGTTCAGCAATTACAGACTGTAGTCCATCTGTTTCTCTGCATACTTTGTTAGCCCCCTTTTACCCTGTTCTTCAGTGGTCAGGACCCCCACAGGACCACCACAGAGTAGGTATTATTGGTACAAGTGGGTACAAGTGCAAGTGGATCAGACACAGCAGTGCTGCTAGAGAGTAACAACAAGGCGTTGTCCAAAATGTGCTTACTGTTATTTGTGTGTGTGTGTGTATATATATATATATATATGTACTCAAATATAAACTTAATTCCTGGACCTTTAAAAATATTAAAACCATGATGCACAAGGAAGCATTTGAGCTTTATTTGCTGTGCAAAGTTATGACAGTTTTATAAGAAGTTGAAAGTTTTTAAAATATGAACATAAATATAATTAACTATGTAATATTTCCTTCTTGTTTCCCCAAAGAGTTTGTCTGGACCTTGCAAGCCACATGGCACCTGGTTCATGTTCGTCTGGACATGGACCACGAGTTTGACCAGCCCGTATGCAAAAAGAAGAAGCTGTGGGAGACGGTGGCTGAGAGAGTGACCGCCAGGTTAAGAGCAGAGGGCTACCAGGACGTTGCAGTGAAGGCTTTCGAATGTGACCTCAAGTGGAGAAACATGCTGGCAACCTACAGGAAAAACGCCGAACGGGCCAAGCGGCTCGGAGCCCACAGCGTGCACTGGGAGTTCTTCAAGACCATGCATGAGGTTCTGGGCCGGAGCTACGAGGAGATCGAGGCTCAGCGCAGAGCCAAGCTGAGCGGCACCAAGGTGGGGAAAGCCATGGCCAGTAAACGCTACACACCGATATTACCCACACCTACTCTCACAGCCACAGCAGTCCCTCCTAGCAGACCCCCTCAGGATGTCCTGCAGTTGTATCTGGAGCTGCAGGAGAGGAAGCTGAACATGTGGGCCCAGCAGAAGGCTCTGGAGGAGAGGAAGATCGAGGCCATTAATAATCTGGCCAGAGCCATCAGCAGCCTGGCGCAGGACAGTACTGGTGCAGGACAGATGTCCAAAGAGCCCACAGTCTCCGACCCTCTGTCTTCACTTTCCTCTCAACATTAAAGGACCCATAGTCTACCTTTTTCTTGTATTTTATTTTTTCCTCCCTGAGCTCCACTTTTGACATTCGTGTGGTTTTGTGTACTAAAAACAGTCATAATTCATTTTCCCACCTTCTCTTTATCCCTTTCGTAAATGACCTCTTCTCTGATTGGTTCCCCTGCATTGTGCTGCAGAACTGAAATACTCCTTGTAACTTAAGCGTGAATGGGCAGGGCTAAACTGCTGTAGGCTGAATAAGCAGATCAATATAAACTAGTTGATTTTTTTGGTGACATCACAAAAACAGTGAACTCAACATTAAACTTTTAACAGTGTTTACGTGCTACATCAAAGTCCTATTTTTATTCATTTTAAAGTTATAAAATCGAGAAGCTAGAAAAAAAAACAAAACATATACATATATAAGCCTTTCTCCATTTGAAAATAGCCTGACAGCTTTATTCAAACAATAGTATATCATTTAATGAATATGATTATAATAATGATTACAATTGATTTGAACTAGGGATGCCAATATTATTATTACCGTATTAAATATACTCAACCTAAGAACCCAGTTCTGATTAAACTGAGGCACTGACAACTGTATGTTAATGATTATATGATCAAACACTAAACAGGTGTTGACTGCAATACACAATGATGGGCTGCTGAAAGTTCTGCATTATAAAGTTCTAAAGTAATATTTATGCCATGATTAGGTTTAGTTTAGTCTCACTGTACCTCAGTAGCTCTTCAGAGTCATCTCCATCCATCATATCCTTCTCCGATTTCACAGCGCCATGCATCACGTGTTCTCTCAGAGGACGTGGATGAAATTATTGTCCTATCATCCTCTCAAACCATTATTTTTAGATGCACGCTTCATTTTTTAATAGGCCCAGTGGAATCAGTTGCACCCTCATGCAAACAAACTGTTGTTTTATTGGAAATTGAATACATTTAACTTAACATTTTTGGTTAGACAGTTGTTTATTTGTTGGTTAATCATTTACATCCCTAATTATAACATCGCAAAATCATTACCGTGGCCTACAGATCAACAAATTATGATGCATCAGTGCATATTAACACCCCTGGAATGCATCCTGCTGCATCAGCCAGGGTCGTCCAGATGCAGTACGTTTAGAGCTGGGATTTCCGCTGCCCTGCAGAAACAGCAGATTCTCATCTCGTATAAATCATCAAGCTAATTATTAATGCTTAATTGGCTGAGTTAAATGTGTTAAAGCAGGAAAACCAATTTTCCTGCTGTACTTATTCTGGTATTAGCCTTATTCTTATATTCTGGTAGTTCTACGAAATTTAATGGCAACATTTTTCTCTGTGTTTCCACTGTTTTACATAATCCTCCCCAAAGTGTAATACTGTTTCATATTTCTTCAACCCATTTGTCTCAAAAAAGCACCTGTATTAGTCATCTGATAATGTTAGAACATAATTCATCCTCATGATTCAGTTTATCATCAGTATATCTGGATGTCAGGAGTGTGTGGCACGAGTTTGACTCGACTGTTGATAAGAGGTTGTAAATGTGTGACCTGTAAATGATTTTTTTTATTAAAAATGCATAAAATACAACAGCTCTTTGCATTATTTACAAACTTAAAAGTAAATAGCAGAGACAGCGTCACTGATTCAAAGAACAGCTCTTATAAAGCATCACAGACAATCTGAACGCTGGCAGCACCTCCTTGCGGAGAATCTCAGGAAGCTTAACATGAGTGAGATAGAAGCCAAGGCCGAATTACAGAAACTTCTTAACTCTGAAATCTTATCTGTTTAGTCAACATTACAACTTCAGTTAGGACTGAATTCAGGGCAGAAGCTGTTACAGAACATCAGTTCTTGAGGTCATAATCTTATCATTAACTCCAGATAAGAAAACAGTGTTACAGAAACATCCTAACTGGACTAAACCTCCTAAATACTGTCCTAACTTTAGGATAAACCCCAGAGGGTCTTAACTTCTGTTTAACTGTCTGTTTCTATTGTTTTATGCAGTGAGAGGCAGCACAGTTCACTATAACTGGTATAATGAAGTTACGTTTATCTACATTGAAAACGTTGCTTTGACTTGTGAGGGTTTTCTTTTCTAACTCTGCATTTTAAAAATCTCAGACGCTGCAGACTCGATCGCCATCGTCCCTCTGATTACCTTCGTGTGTTAATGATGATGAAATATTACAGTGATGGTGGTGAATAATGAGGAGACAGAGCTGAACGTGTGTCTGTTTATTAGGAGGAATAACGTTAGCACGCTCGGCTAAAGCGTTTGGGAAATGGAGACTGAAACGGCGACGCTCTGATAAACAGCACGAATCGCTGACACATTATTAACTTCAACTTCATCGCACTTTAGTTTTGTTTGACCTTGTTTTTTTTACCTCAGTAACGATAGCTAAAGTTAGCTGTCTGGCTAACTAGCTTATTTTGATCATAGACATACATGCCGAGATGCCGCGTTGTCTGTTGCCCTCTATCTGAGGCGATACGTCTGCGCGTCCGCCATGTTGGAGAGGTCAACATCCGCCTGTGAGCCAATTCACTTGTATTGAGAGACGATGTCTCAGGATTAAATCGGCTACAACTTGTTTATTACTCAACTGATTTTCACCTAATCTGTTTTGTTACAATCCTCAGACACAGATTAGTCTAGGCTTTCTTTAATAACTGATCGCGCTAATTATCCGTCCGGACCAGCAGGAAAGTATTCAGTCTGCACCTGACGCTAAAAACCGAGTTTAGCGCGAGAAAACACAAACACACATCAGTAAATCCATCAATGTGTGAATCACACAAGCAAAACGCCTCGCAAAAACATGAGCGTGGATCGCTGCGTTCCCTCCGTTATATAATCCTGTCCCGCTTTCTGAGTGTAATATTCTTTCAACAGTGTAATTTTGGACAGTATCTTTCTTAAACTGCCGCTCTGTAATGGTACTGAATGCAGTCCAGCAGCGATGTTGACCTCCCTAAAATGGCGGCGCCGTTGACGCCCCTGGCTGGACCATAGATATACATACCTGGATGCCGCGTTGGGTTCATTTTAGGACTCCCGAGTGAGTCCAAAATGAATGGGTTGATATGGAGCATTTGAGCAAAATCATAGTTTATAAATGCTGAAACATTTTTAATGTAAAAGAATACAATCATTTCCTGAACACAGAATATCATAAAACATTTTAACACTGCTGTTATATTTTTAAGAGCTTTTAAACTCGAGTTGTAGGAGTTTAAAACGGCGCCTCATGTATGTTCATGACGTCAGTGAGCGCGAACAGCCAATGAGCTGCTGCACTCGCCAATCAATTATCACACTCTAGCAGTAATGCCCGCCTCCTGCTGCCCAAAACCTGTTTGTTGTAGAAAAAAGGAAACATACAGGTGAGATTTCTTTGTTTTTTTTAGTGAAATACATCCTTCTACTTTCTAAAATCAAAGAAACGCTCTGGGAAAGTGATCAGAAACTATTTTAACTTCTCGTTTTTAGCCGTTGAGCTCCATTTACTCCCATTCATTGAGGACTCCCTCGCGGGCGCCCTCTGCTGTTCAGCAGTCCTGTTTTTGATATAATAAGGGGAATAGGAAGAGGCCAGACTCCTCATAAACCGGCTCTGGTTTGTATATCTATGATTTTGATTCGCTACGTGTTTACGTTTCAGCTGTGCGCGTATGAACGTTTGCTAAGTAACAGGCATGACAGTTGATTGTCGACATCCACTGAGTAAGTTAAGATTTGCTAACTTGAGATAAGATGCTGTAAGATAGGATTCTTCTATTAAGATTTGCTTCTGTAATACAAATTCGTGAAGAATCTTATCTTGACCGGTCAGATATTAAATTAAGACAAAAATACAGCCCCAGGTCCATGAGGCGCTCCAGGCTGCACAAAATGCGTGATTATAAGCACCAACCCCAGTTTTCAGAGGAATTCAGCTTATAGGTCACTTTTAACCAAAGTGCTTTTATTCTGTTCCAAATTCCACAGGAATCACAATTAGCACTTCACATAAATGATGAAATGACTGCCCTGAGAGAAGCCCTGCTGAAATTTCACAACCGGTATTAATACATGCACAACAAATCACACATTCTCAGCCGAACCTGCTGTAATTCCACTCCTGGATTTGTGAGCATGTAGGGGTGATATTAGGTTTTCACAGCTTCAGTTGTTAAATGCCTGAGGGACAGACGTCCTCTCAAAAAACGTTCCTGAACACCATCTTTAACCCTGATTACACCTGGTCGTTCAATGTGACTTGTATCTGGATTGAAACCTGATAAAAGTTTAACCACATGCGTTTACGCTTGGTAATAAAACGTGTCTGCGGTTGGTCAGATGGAAATGCGATTGCTATATGGTGTGCAGTATGCAAATGAGAAATAGTTTTGTGATAATTTTTGGCTTAAGTGGTATTTTAATCCATTTACTTTACTCCACTAATGGTGGAGGGGTACACACAGGGCGCTGTAAGGCAAAACAGTCCCCAAAGAAAGTTTTGTTTTTCAGATTTATGACGATTTTACCATCATCTGTGTTACATACACCGATCAGGCATAACATTATGACCACCTCCTTGTTTCTCCGCTCATTGTCCATTTTATCAGCTCCACTTACTATGAGCTCATTTGCAACAACCAATCACTGGAATTTTTCTTGGTTTTTCCAGCTTTATTGAAAAATTGTTGGCACCTACCACTTTTTATTTCCTTACACCGCTTTACAAAGTTATTTAAGGAGAAAACTGTGTTGAATAATTAGCCTCCTGTATTGGTCATCGCAGACTTCATCCATTAAAATATAACGTAGTGAGGCGGTAAACAACAACGAGGCGAGGTAAAGACTAACCAAACTGGCATGTTATTTTAACTTAAAGAGCACTGATTAAACTCAGGAGAATCCCCTCTGAGTCTACTGGCACTCAAGTTAGCATTTTTTCCTCATATGCAGAACAGCAGTGGGTGAGGTTTTGGTTGTCAGATGAATTTACACGTATAAACATCTGGCTAAAACGTGTCTCAGACTCCCTGATATGTTTTGAGTGATCAGATTTGAATTGTTTCTGAATTGTGCATTTTTATGTGGATTCTCTCCATCTAGACATAATCCCGATATTCAAGCTGCACGAAACGAACAAGTGTAAACAGGTCTTTAGCAGCACGCTTCATTTTTTTAGTAGGCCTAACGCAGGAGTCGGCAACATGAGGCTCTGGAGCCGCATAACGTCCTGTCCTGTTGTGGCTCCACAGCTGAATTAGATTTGTAGGTAAAAATAAAATAATCCTCCTTTACAGTAAAATAAAGCTCTGCTGATCGTTCAACACAGTTTTAACAATAAATGGTCTTAAACTCTGGAGTTAATGTAGAACTGCTAATTCACCCTTTAACCCTGAAGGTTGGCGCGCAGACTGGTCACCATAGCAACACAGACAACAATCTCGCCTAGCTAGTAGCTAACGAAAAGGCAAAGAGAAAGATTTAAGATGAACATCAATAATTTGGAGATGAATGGACTTATTTGCATTTATAATCACTCCAGCTGGTTTCCTGATACGTTTAATCTGCAACGAGAAACTGACAAACACTAAAACGTTGCAAATCTGTTGCCCATTCACCAGCTTCTCTTTCAAATTGTCCTGTTCCACCTTAAGAGTGCAGCAGTTACATTCTGGAATGTCAGGCACCATTTAAGGTGGAACAGGAAAATTTGAACAAGAAACTGGCGAATGAGAAGCTGACGCCTCGTAAAAAAATCAAACGTTGAGAGACATTTTACAAGAAACTATTCTAATTTTGTGGAAAAGTTTCCTGCCGGAGATGCGAGAAAAGTGGCTATAGCTGAACTGAAGCTTAAAGCAGAGCAAAGTAAGTCTGTGTTTTCATTTATATTATATGTTTTAGTCTATACTAGTTCATCAGCGCATACTGAGACATATTTACAGCCAAGATGGTAAAATGGACATAAAATGTTGTGGCTCCCAAAGTGATTTGCTTCTTTGTTGAAAGGACAAAATGGCTCTTCTTAGCATTTGGGTTGCGGCCCCTGAACTAGTGGAACCAACTGCCTGTTGTTCCTTCATGTACAAATCTAAAAGGTTTAACTCAAATGATAAACCCACCCATTCAAAAACTGCGGTTTACTGGAAATGTGCGGAGCTCCGCTGAAGACGTCCTAGATAAATAAAATAATGCGTGGCTAAGTTGTATTAACACGGGGGAATGAGATCCTAGTGCGTGGCCATGACTTAGTAAGGCATGGGAATAAGATCATGCCTTATTAAGCTGTGGTCAAAGCTTAATTATCTCATCTCCACATCTTACTAAGTCAAGGTCATGACTAAATTATCTTGTCCCCACATCTTACTAAGTCAAGGTCATGACTAAATTATCTTGTCCCCACACCATTATCTCATCTCCACATCTTACTAAGTCAAGGTCATGACTAAATTATCTTGTCCCCACATCTTACTAAGTCAAGGTCATGACTAAATTATCTTGTCCCCACACCTTACTAAGTCAAAGTCATGACTTAATTATATTGTCCCCACATCTTACTAAGTCAATGTCATGACTAAATTATCTTGTCCCCACATCTTACTAAGTCAAGGTCATGACTAAATTATCTTGTCCCCACACCTTACTAAGTCAAAGTCATGACTAAATTATATTGTCCCCACATCTTACTAAGTCAATGTCATGACTAAATTATCTTGTCCCCACACCTTACTTAGTCAAAGTCATGACTAAATGATCTTGTCCCCACATCTTACTAAGTCAAGGTCATGACTAAATTATCTTGTCCCCACACCTTACTAAGTCAAGGTCATGACTAAATTATCTTGTCCCCACATCTTACTAAGTCAAGGTCATGACTAAATTATCTTGTCCCCACGCCTTACTAAGTCAAAGTCATGACTAAATTATCTTGTCCCCACACCTTACTAAGTCAAAGTCATGACTAAATTATCTTGTCCCACATCTTACTAAGTCGAGGTCATGACTAAATTATCTTGTCCAAACATCTTACTAAGTCGAGGTCATGACTAAATTATCTTGTCCCCACACCTTACTAAGTCAAAGTCATGACTAAATAATATTGTCCCCACATCTTACTAAGTCAAGGTCATGACTAAATTATATTGTCCCCACATCTTACTAAGTCAAAGTCATGACTAAATAATATTGTCCCCACATCTCCACTGTGTAAAACATTTTGAAGCTGCAGAGTTAATCATTTCACATCAAACCTCTCTGAATGTCTCTGTTTACATGTCAATAATTGGATTCTGCAGAAAATTTGACATCTCACTTTAAGCTCCACCCATCCGTTAATCCGTTCCTCCCTCCAGGGCGCTGTACAGCAGATTTACGACAGTGTCTCTCAGAGTTATGCCAGCCTCTTCTTTTCTTCCTTCTTCTTCTTCCTCCCTCACCTCCCTGTCCACCTGCCCCTTGGTCACATGACCCATCTCCAGAAACACATTGTGCAGAATACAGCAGGTTAACACAACGGCCTTCGCCCTCTCAAAGTTGCCCATGTCCAGGTACCTCAGTTTCTGAAAGCGTTCTTTCAGGTCGGCCACGGCCTGGTCAAACCCGCCCAGGTGGGCCTCTACTGACCTGTTGTAGAGGTTTTCCTGGGGGCTTCGGCCTGGGGAGAACGGGGTCAGTATGTGTCCAGTGAGAGGATATCCCACTCTGGCCAGCAGGCAGGTCCCCGGAGGCATGAGTTCAGGGTTTTGCTGGAGTTTCTCGCTCAGGGCGCTGCCCCTGTCCCTGTCAGAGCCTCTGCTGATGTGACAATGGACAAACCGGCCTTGACTGTTGCACACCAGCTCCAGGTTCAGCCAGGAGTCTGGATGGGGCTCCTTTTTCAGCCTCTTCACATCCGGCACAGCGCTCTCCCCGTCCTGTTTGCTGATTGGTAGCGGATGGGGATGCGGGTGTGGCCCAGCACCCCCAACACCTGAGGCAAACCCCTCTCCTCCAGCCTTTCATCCCACCCCAGCCAGCTAGAGAAGGGAAGCAGGTGCTCTGCAGCCTCTTCACCTACAGAGGTGAAGATGTAATAAAGTTGTCGTTAGTTTAGCGTAAAGGGAAAATTTACAGCTAACATTACGTACAAGACACACAAGTCCAAAGGCAACCAGCGTTTCCTCTGAAATGAAGGGTATTAACAGGGAGTCTGTCCTCCTTTGCTGCAGTAACAGCCTCTACTCTTCTGGGAAGGCTTTACACTAGATGTTGAACATTGCTGTGAGGATTTGATTGAGCATTAGTGAGGTCAGGAACTGATGTTGGATGCTCAGTTCTGGATCACTCCAACTCATCCTAAAGGTACTGGATGGAGCTCCATCACTACAGAGAACATAGCTCCACTGCTCCACAGCCCAGTGCAACCCAACCATCTACCCATTACTAGAGAGTTTGGTGCATTAACGTAAGAGTATGTATTCCGTACAGTATTTCGGCATTTTTCGCGTTTTAGTAGTTATTGCGGAAATACCATAAGTCATACACGATTTAATGATTGGTTGGACTCTGCAAAATCTGCCTAGCAACCAATATGCACTTTGATTGGTCACATTTGGACCAATACTTTTAAAGAAATAAGAAAAAAACGTCATCTGTGTCATCGGTTTCTGCCGTCGGTACTCCGTACACCAGCTTCCACAGAGGGAGCGGTTTTCCGTAGAGTGTTTTCCCTGCATTTTATTAGAAGTTTTATGAAATCTAATTGCATAAAAATAGACATTAAGTGATTATACTGATTATAAAAGTGTATTGATATAAACAATATGTGCAGTGAATGAGGCTACCATGGAAAAAAGCCCAGTAAAGTGAGGCAGTGCTGTGAAGCTGCGCAGCTGAAAGGAGTCTGCTGAGGTAAATTAGCTGACGGTGTAAACTTAGATTAACAGCTCAGTACTAAACATACTGTGTTTCATGGTGATGATCCATTGTTTAATATTCGTTTTAGTGTTAAATATGATGATTAAATGTGCTAAAATGCATTTTAACTGGCCGTGAATGTTTCCCCACCCCATTCACATTCGCATCCCTGAGTTTCCCCACCCGCCATTTTCGTGTGGCGCTGGGGGGGTCGGTCACTATTTGCATAGATTTGATGTCCAAACCCAGCTTAGATGGTCTTGCCAACAGATTTGATGGAAAAAGGGATATATTATAATGTCTCAGATGCATCTTTGACAAATGTCAAGAAAGTGGTTTTTATTACACAGACAGAAATATTTGCAAGTGTACGGAATACCGTGCTCTTACGTTACATCCCTTAAAGCTGGGGTTACACTACATGACTTTACCCCGATTATATCCCCGGTTCTCAGTCTGGCTGAGTCTGTGCTGGTCGGCTCTTGTCTGGAGAATCGAGTAGTGTACGAGGGGCCAGACGGAGTTTCAGACATGTTTGATTTTTTCGACCCGACTCTGATTGTAATCTGGTGTAAACTGGTCAACGACTCAATCTGAATGGATTCCTGCAACAGCCAATGAAAACTGAGAGCTCAAAGAAGAAAGCTTTTTAATGAGCTGAGTTTAAGGCACAGTCGAGTTTATGTTCATTTAAAACTCTAAAAAATACCAAACTGATCACATTTTTAAATCCATGATCCTCGCTTAAACACGTTTACCTGCTACTTCTTTACTGTTTCAGTGCAAATGGCATAGAAAACAGCAGCAGCAGCTCCATGTTTGTTTATTTGGGTGTCCTAGTAACCGGAGAATGCGAGAGTTTGCGAGAGTTTGCGAGAGTGATCCCTAAACGTTTAAGTGTGGATCCCCAATATTTCAGCCGCCCAAACAAATCTGCCAAAACCAGTCGGACACTGTGAGACGCCCAGTCTTTTATAATCTGTTAAGACTTTAAAAGTCTTTCCTTTGACAGGAAATGGCCGTTGAACTAACACAAAACTGGCCAACCACAAACCACTGGCTAACAGTTTACTTGAACCCTGCTGCACACCACTGACATAACCATGTCACGCACATTCATATGAGTCTGTAAACGTGAGGCAATCTTGCTTGAAAGCTGTTGAATGCTTCAAAGAAAAACACTTAAAAGACAACATGCTGTAAAACAGGGATATTAATGAATAACCACTAACCAACGAGAACATAAAAGTTTGACCGACGCTTTCAGTTAAATATTAAGTTCACATAAACATTTGATATCTGAATAGGTGGGTTTTTTATTCAACTTCAGGACTGTTTTTCAATCGTACACACAAGAGTTCATTTTGTTCCGGTTGCCTAAAAACAACAGCCTAAGTGTTTTTCTGAAATCTACACCAACTCTCGACTCCTGCCTCAGGAGTCAATGGAGCAGACTCCCCGACTCCACTTACTTTAAACAGATAGAAATTTAACAGACAGTTGATAAAGGCATATAGCAGAGATTAAAACATCCTATCGCAAACTATCACAGAGCATCTTAGTCTTACGATCATCTTAACTGAGAGAGAAGTTCACTGATGCTCTACCATTTAAGAATCTTAGATATTTTCATATATAAAATTAGATATGATGGATATTTTTCTTAGATATTTTCGGGAAACCCAGCTGTGTTTGTCAGCTAACAGTCAGCCTGTCTGTAGTTAGTCCCATGACAAAAGCTTCCAATGTTATGTTGATTGTTGTTTTCAAGCAAGCCCCAGTCAGGATACATATCGCTGCTGTCGGAACAAAACCTCGTATCTCCATTTTTGACATTTTTCAGTTTTTTACACAATCTGAAAATGCCTGCTGTCCTTTACTTTGTGTGTGAATTTCATGATGAATGGACCAAAAGAAACGGCCTAAAATTACTTAGAAAACCGTCTGGTTCCATTGACTTACATTAAAAGTAAAGTGAGTTTTCTCCTTCTACTGTAAAGTTAGCATTTTGGAGATATGAGGTTTCAATGTGTTTATTAACTTGGGTTAGTAATATATGGGAAAATTAAGTAAGCAAACTACACTACGTTACTGTTGTATCTGCCAAGCTGTGTTTTTTCGTTCAATAAAGCCTAAAGTTTTGTTTCTATAAACCACAATTCTGTGTTTTATGTTTTCATGGATGAACTGTGACCGTTATTTGAGGTTTGTCTGTTTATGAATATTCATATCTAATAACGGTCGGCACTGAGCAGGCAACTACTTACAAAAGTGTATTTGCCACCAGGTAAAACCTGCTGCACAGAAGCGCATACACAAAGACGTGAGGACAGCCAACCAGACTGGAACTGGCGATAGTTGTGGCAATAGGTATCAGACACACTGTTCACATGTGGGCAGAGCGTCTGAGGCTGAGACCAAAAGGCTTTATACCCCTTTAGTTAACACTAGGCTTTGTGCCTGGCGACCTTAAGAGCATGTGCATCCCATTCTATTGGAAATGCTTTTCTCCTGAGATTATACAAGCTGTGTGCACAGCTGAACGCTGGTTTCAGCAATGGGTGACCTTAAAGTGGCTACAATTGCTCTTTAGAAGGACACAGAGTGTCTCTCTCTGACTCGTCTTTTGATGTAAAGGAAATGGACATGCGTTCTATAATTAAAGATAATATTAGCTGCAAATTTATCCAAGAAACGAAGCAAAACTCAACATCCCTACAGCAACATAAACAGCCAAACAAAGAACACATCATTTTAAGGCAGGAAATATTCAAGGGTATAAAAAGTAAACAGTAACATTTTACTGAAGGGCAGCATTCATAAAGCTACATGACCACTACATAAGCCTTTCATAACAGCTGAGATAAACCTATATGAACATTTACAAAGGTTATTCCAAGCATCAGTGGTCATAACCCTTTCTAAGGTGAAATGACATCAGAATTGACTTAAGCAGCCTTTATGATGAAATAAACCTTTATAAACATCAGTTATAAAAGGCTTATGCAGGTGTTATGTCGTATTATCAATGCTGCCCTTCAGTGAAGTCTAACCAAGTGGGCAATATCCACCTCCAAACAACTGTGCTGATGTCTACACACCAGTGGGCCATCGGATCAGCTGGTCCTGCAGTGCGTTGACACGGTCACAGAAGGAGAAGAAGATCCTGTGGATGTTGCCTTTCTCCAGGCGGAAGGTGGAGGAGACGGTGCGGTAGCTGAGGCGTTTGGACAGCAGGGTGAGCGACAGGAAGACGGTGTGAGACAGGGACAAACGAGCTCTCCCGGTCAGTCGGCTCTGGCTGTGGCTCGAGTTGGAGTTCTGTAGAAGAGCTGTGACATACTGAGAGAAGGAGAGATAAAAGGGAATTACCAACGTGCAGACAAACTCAATGGTGGAACAAACCTGTCAAGCCAGCATTAATAAACTTTAATAACACAACATTTTCCAAACATAGCATAACAGTAACAGACGATATATAAGTTAGAATTAATCAAGTTATTTATCTTGATCCTCCTGAGTGCAGCAACGGTTCTACTTACCTTAAAATTACACAGTACAGTAAACATGAACCAAACAGAACACTGTTAGAAATAAAGGTTCTGTGGATGTAAATCTGTAAATCTGCCCTCAAAGGTACAACAGTGGGTTTTAAGGTCTGATTGTGACCCTTAAATAAGTTTTTCCAGGTGAAAAGTTCGTATTTGTACCTTTTCATAACCGAATGTTTTAAAACAGAACAGTAAAATAAAAGCCTGGAGACGAGACGGGGTGTGTGGAGTCAGTACAGCTTAGAACATATCATTTCAGTGGATTATGGTTCAGTTATGCTCCCTGACTAAAGGTACTGAGATGGACCCTTGAGGGTCCCACCCCAGTGAGAAGAGGGGTACCGCTCCAGTGACAGTTTAGTACCCTTTTTCTGAGAGTGTAGAGAAACTTACTGTTAATTTTATGGATGCACCAATATAGAAATTGCAGGCAGATATACATTTTTTTCATATATGTATTTGCCCATGCCTATAAATAACATATAATATAAATAAATGATAATAATAATATATAAATAATAAATAACATATAAAATCTGGATTAACATTATGGAGAAATATAACCAACATTAAGGGTTACAGTTGCAGTGAAATGAATAAATTACCTAAATAAATAGCCTTGGGCTGAAAATGTATAATACCGAATGTGCTTTAATTAAAATAAGTGCCTAAATTAAGCAAATTACTGTTTTCTTTCATATGAATTTTTGTACTGGTTCATCGTTATTTAATCAAACCCAATTAAAATCATTCTGATCTATGGTTAGTTCAAAAATGTATACAGTAGAAAGGACTGCACTTCATTATAGGCTGTTAAAGCAGAACTAAATGTACTGAGATTTCAGTCTGGCAAAGAATGCTGGGAAACATGTGAATGAAACTAAGAAACTCCAGCCCATGAGATCAGCTCTCCAGCAGACAGTGAGATGTTCAAGCTTGTCCAGAAGAAGAACAAATGCACATGTTGGGCAATATTTTGTACCAAACAACCACAGAGAACCAAAGGGGACTTCCACGGATTTCTCAAAATTTCTGCAGAATTCAATCATTAAGATGTAAACAGAGTCATTCAGAGTGGTTTGATGTGAAACGCTCTGTTCCAGAGAAACGTACAGAGTCAGAACTGTCCACAGTGGTGATGTGAACCAGCCGTTTGAAGAGCTTAATGCCTCTAAAAGCCCCCTCACAGAAAGTTATTAGACAAAGTGGTTATGAACACATTGCCTGATGTCTAAAGCCATAGTTCTGAGAGAAGGTTTTGGCCTTAAATGTACTTTGAGACTGTAAACGTACGATTAGATCGCAGTTTCTCAGGAACCCTGCAGTAAATGCAGACAGCCCATGGATTAATATAAATGTGGTATATCTGCAAATATGGATGTCCACCAGAGGCGACTGTCTGACTCTGCTGCAGCAGAGTAGAACGAGTCCTCTGATGTAGTGAGAAGTACAGACTTTATACAGATCCAGATCTAACAGAGACATCGTGGCTCGGTGTGAAGTCAAGCCCGAGACCGTCTAGATGATCCAACAGCGAATGTGGATTCAAGGAGCTGTGATGTGAGACCAAATGGCAGATTTCCAAATGGCTGATGAGGCTATTAGAATTACAATAGAGCAAACTTCCTGAGACCAAATGTCCCAGGTCTAAATAACATATCTAAATGAAATATATTAAAGCATCTGCATAAGCTCAAAAATACAGAATCTAATAGTATTAAAAAGTAAAACAACACTGTAAAAAATGCAGGTTTTAAACTTAAAACAGTAACCAGGTTAACCTGAAATTTTCCGCTCTTAGAACATAAAATATCAACAAACGAATAATTTGTGGTTTACATTTGTTAACCTTTTAGTTTTGAGTTTAATGAGCTCAACATTTCAAGCAAACCCAATTACTTACTTTAAGTTTACATACATTTTTACAGTGAAATTCAAAATAGTACTCAAAAGAAACTTCATGGTTTAGATTTGCTATTATTGCTATTATTATCGTTATTATTTACCACCGACATATTATTTACATTATTTACTACTACATATAAAACTCAGAAGACATGTGTAGGGTCACTGTTGGTTCTGGATAGTAAATGAAATGGCTATATTTGTGTTGTAGTCATGGTGACCCCTGGTTCACTGTAAAGAAATCAGAGTCTGCCAAAATCAGAGTTACGTGAAAATTTTGAAAAATCAATGGTATTGCCCTCAAACACTGTTTCATGCCATTTGCGCAGATTAAAGTTATCAACATAAATTATTTAATAATATTAAAGCTAGCCCAGGTGGTAATTAAATGGTAATTCTATTATCATCATTAAAAATGTGAGCTATAGAGTACGACTCACAATACTAAAGTGTGGAAGTTCATAACGAACTTGGATGATGACAAAATAGTATATGGCAATAATTCCGCAGACAACAACTGTTTGTCTAAATTTAAAATTAACATTAAAGCTTAAAAATAAATGTCATAAAGTATTGTTTTGAAATTTTGTCAAATCTAAACATCTGTCCAATCTCTTTTTTTTAAAGCAGTTATGGATATCATTGGATATTTTTGGATATTATTCATACTTCTAACATATATAGTAGAATATATATTATATTGCAACATCTTTATGCATTAGCTATTGTTATTTATGAATACAGCTAAAAACAAAAATCGAGATTATGTGACATCAATATGAGTATTTCAGTACAGATGACACATCAACCAACACTGTCAGTACGTTACATAACTCATATTTAAAGATACACTAAGTTTATATTATGACGTATCACAAATTATAACAATAAAGGCTGCCTGACTGTTGCTTAAGATGATTTGGGCGATGTGTTATCACGTCTCATAAGTGTTCACTTGTTCTGAATGTTATAAGTACTGCATTATCCCACAATGTCTACCTGAACAGTGGGGTTTCCCTCTATTTCACTGATGTGCTCCTCCTGCTCCTCCTGGAAAACAGTGGACGGGGGCTCCTCTGACAACTGAATGGTCACAGTTTGTGTTTGCTCTTGTGTGAAACTCATGAAGTCTTCTTGTGGAGACACCTGCATTAAAACAGGGCTACACTGAGCCTGGACGCCGGACATCAGGTCGGCCTCGATCATCTCCTCCACTGCCTGGTCCAGGCGCTGATCGAGCTCCCAGTGACCCAGAGGCTCCCAGTCAAACTGCATGATGTCCATCATCAGTCTGCCAGCTGCTCCAAGACAGGATTTACGAAACTCCATCTGCAGAAAGGTATACAAACGAACACTGGCCACTTTATCAGAAACATCTGAGACTGTATTCCACCTTTTGATGCACAGTTTGTGTTGGTCATTCTTTGGTTTCTGACCACAGAGCCGCTCTTATCTGGAGGTCAACTCTCAACCTGGCGTGTAAAAACCCCAGCAAAACCGCTGTGTCCGATACATTCATACCCTCACCACACACACTACCACATCAGGGTCACTGCTGTGCTGAGAATGGACCACCACCCAAATAATATCTGGACAACAGTAACTGACCAATGATGAATGGAGTAGAGGGGGACTGATACACTGTGCAGCAGCAGATGGACTACAGCCTGAAACTGTAAGCAATAAGGGTTCTCTATACTACCAAACAAGGTTAGAGTAGCAACAGCAGAACTCTTTTTGGTGCTGCATTGAAAATGATTTTGTAAAATAGAAAAGTGGCCAGTGAGTGGAAGCACAAGGTAGGTGTTTCTAATAAAGTGGCCAGTGAGTGGAATCACAAGGTAGGTGTTTCTAATAAAGTGGCCAGTGAGTGGAATCACAAGGTAGGTGTTTCTAATAAAGTGGCCAGTGAGTGGAATCACAAGGTAGGTGTTTCTAATAAAGTGGCCAGTGAGTGGAAGCACAAGGTAGGTGTTTCTAATAAAGTGGCCAGTGAGTGGAAGCACAATTTAGGTGTTTCTAATAAAGTGGCCAGTGAGTGGAAGCACAATGTACGTGTTTCTAATAAAGTGGCCAGTGAGTGGAATCACAATGTACGTGTTTCTAATAAAGTGGCCAGTGAACAGAAGCACAATGTAGGTGTTTCTAATAAAGTGGCCAGTGAGTGGAAGCACAAGGTAGGTGTTTCTAATAAAGTGGCCAGTGAACAGAAGCACAATGTAGGTGTTTCTAATAAAGTGGCCAGTGAGTGGAAGCACAAGGTAGGTGTTTCTAATAAAGTGGCCAGTGAGTGGAATCACAAGGTAGGTGTTTCTAATAAAGTGGCCAGTGAGTGGAAGCACAATGTAGGTGTTTCTAATAAAGTGGCCAGTGACTGAAAGCACAAGTTAGGTGTTTCTAATAAAGTGGCCAGTGAGTAGAATCACAAGGTAGGTGTTTCTAATAAAGTGGCCAGTGAGTGGAAGTAGAGGGTAGGTGTTTCTAATAAAGTGGCCAGTGAGTGGAGGTAGAGTGGGGTATTTCTCGCGGATGATGAGCGTCTGCATTGGAAAGCATTGCAGATTAACTCCTGTGAAGCTGTTGTAGGACATCGAAGTGGCCGTAGCAGTGAAATGAGCACCGTACGGATAAATTTACGCTGAAAATGTAGATCAATCATCTCTTTAACCACTAAGTTAACCTAGCTAAGCTACTCAGCCTAGTTAGCCACCTAGGCTACATGCTAATGTTCGCTAATGTGATACCGGGTCCTATATCTCTGTGTAGCTGCGCACACCGCTTTTAATTTCGGTTCTGTGTACTTACCGAACCCGGAGAGCCCATTTCGCTCTGAAACGAAACTAAAAACTTCAGTCCGACTCGCTACAACATGCAGCCCGAGTGATCATCCCCACAACACTGTGGCTGCGCATGCGCACTAGGGCCGGCTTCCCGCACATGGATTAAAGGGCCCATATTCTAAAATATCCTTACTTTTTCCGTCCCTGAGGTCCACTTACGATACCTGTGGGGGTTTCACGGGTTTTGTGTACCAAACACGACCATAATTTTACTTTTAGCTTTGATCAGTTTTGATGTATGTATGTATGTATGTATGAATGTATATGAGCTCTGTTCTGATTGGTTGTCCTTTATTGTACCTCCCTCAAAAAAGCAGTCCGGGCTGGAATGGGCGGGGCTAAACTGCTTAAACAAGTGCGTTTTGTCTGGTTTTCGAGACAGCACAAAAACAATGAATCAAAAATGAACTGTTTGCTGCTTGGTTTCCATTTATAGACGGTATGGTTTGGAGTTGCCACCCAAGATTGTCTAAGAAAAAAATAAATTCCATTCCTGGACAAACATTTTTATATGTTAGGGTTTTAACTGCTGCTTATTATCCAGCCAAACCCTTTGTGCACAAAGAATGGGTTTAATTAGTTCAGGTTACCCTCAGTGTAAGACAAACTGTTTTGGAAATGTACACTACTACTGACATGTTCAGGCATTAGAAACACTGCTAGATGATAACTGAGAAGATCAGGTTGGACCGACAAGCACAGCTACCCGCCCACCAAATTTAGCAAAACAATTAAGCCACTGATGGAGCATCCAGGAGTTTTACTGGGCTGAGGGGGTGAGCCTTGTATAAAGTGGGGCATTGAATCGTGTGTTTTGAAACTATAACGATGTTTACACACTACTTCAAACTTTTTCTTATTTGGCCCCGTAGCTTTTTACTAGTCGCTTTTTCCTTTCCAAAATGTGTTACCATTAAATATGGATTTCATCTGTCATAAACGATCTTCTTAAGACTCAAATATATCCTACATATTAAACACTGAGTGCATTTACATGCCCCTAATAATCCGATAACAGCAAAAAATCAGATTTTGTGAGCAATCCATTCAACGTGTTCACATTCACTTGGATAATCAGATAATGGGAAAGCTCTGGGTCTATATGAGTCAGACAGTAATCAGATTTCTGCTTTACAACCAGCAAATAAACTCACAGAAGGCGAGATGTAGACATAACGTCAAACTCAAACTTTATGGCCAGCAAATTTTTTTAAACATTGAGTCCCTTGAGTGGAAAAACCAAATATTTCTATCCTTCATTTTGTCGAGCACGCAGTTGGTTTCAGCTTTGCTCAAAAAGTGTTTTGTTGCGTCTCGCGGGTGCTGTGTTAAACACTGCTTGCTGTTTCTGGGACAGCGTTGTTTTCGCACATGCCCAGACTGAGAAAAACGAAAGAAATCAGAGTAAGAGTTCACATGAACTGAGAAATCCGATTACTGCGCTAAAATCCAACTCAGATTTCTTCATCAGATTTCTAGGCCTTAATCCGATCTAAGAAATCAGAGTGTGCTGTTTAGATGACCACCTGAATAATCCGATAACTGCAGATGATGACTGTATTATAAGGTGCATGTAAGGGCACTCGCTGAGAGAAAAAAAAAAAACAGTGTACAAGTGTGAAAAGGGTTGGTTTTAATTTAAACTTGATTACAGATACTGCTGCATTGCTTTGTTCATCAGGATATCTTCCTTTCCCCCCCTGAAAGAGCGCGGTGAGGAACCATGTCCACCACGGAGAAGGAGCAAGTTCTCAAAAACAAGACAGCAGGAGTTCTGTTTTCGGGATGAACACCACGTCAGCATTTTGTTAAAACGAAACAATCACTGCTCTATGCAATTATGCCTTGTTCTTACAGGTCTGCAAAATGCAACTTAAGCCATTCCTTCACACGAACACAACACACACACAAAAACAAAAAGAAGAAGAAAATCAACGTGCATTTACACTTCCCCCTTTGGCTTAAATACAAAATTAGGGAATTAAACAAAATGACACTGCTTTGTCTTTTAAATCAAACCGATACTGGAAAACGACAGGAGACAAACTTCCAGTATGAGAGCGTGAAGAAGGGAAAAAAACATCAAGAAGCAAAAAAAAATGAAAATACAAAATGTTTTTACAAGGAATCTACCACTCTGTTGTGGAGTACAGACCTTTCCTGTATAACCTCAGGGGACATGAACTCGATGTTCATTATGATTTCAGAGCAGTCTCACGCGCAATTACTCTAAATTAGAAGGTAACAAAAACCTCGACTTCCAGCTTTCACGTCCCCAAAGGCTCTTTGTAAAACAGAGGGCCTTTAACAACGAGTTAGAATAATATCAATATCCATTAAACACAGAACATACTGTTAATACAATTCGAGAGGGCACTGTAAAAGCCTACAGCCACTCCAGGCCCAAAAACAACCCCCCCCCTCCCCTCAACACAAGGCCAAAACACACAAAGCACATAAAGCTCAATTTTCCCAAACTTAAACATGTGAATTAAATAAAAAGGTATGATTTTTTAAATAGTCTATCGCCACCCCCCTCTAGATGACCGACTCTGACCAATGAGCAGTTTATCCAGAAATGCATGGAGACACATGAGCAAATCAAAAACGTGCCCGAGTGTACACGGGGTGGCGGGTCGAGACCTTCGCACTGAACAGAGACTTGACTGGGTGCATGAAGGGTTGGAGAGTAACACAGTCAGTCAGAAAGCCAGTGGCTAGAGAAGGGCTGCAAAGGAGAATGATTTCAAATTTTCAGCAAAAGTCACAGCATCACACAGGATCAGTCTTATCTCATGCATCCCCCCCCTTTTTCCCCCTTTTGCACCATCATGTTCAAACAATTTGTCTACATGCCTGATGTTTCCCCAAATTTATCCCTCCCTTTATCTCCCCCCTGCTGCCCTCTGTTGTCTGTCCTCCGCCGCTTCACTGCACTGCCTGCTCGTTGGCAGTGCTGCCGGAGTCTTGGGGCTTCATCACATCGGGCAGTTCAGGAGGAGTGGAGAAAGGCTCCACTCGCAGAGGCTCAAAGGCATCATCTGAGAAAAGAACGAGCGTCATTAGTTCAGCCTGAACACAGTTATTAACAACATCAATTATTTTTTATATAATTATACAAGTTTACTGCACATCTGTGCTACAAATGAAGACATAAGCTTTGTTTCCAGCACCTACTTCTTATGAACAAGTCAGCCCAAAGTGGCAACTTATAAAAAGGTTTAGCAAATCAATTTCAAACAGAAGTTTACCAGTATTAATATACAGACATATTCATCGAAATAAATATGATTACATTTACATTTTTACATTTGGTTGATATAATGTAGTGGGTAACACCTCTACCTTCTACGCTGTAGACGGTGGTTCAATCCCCCGCTCAGGCAAAGACCCTACACTATACCAATGAGAGTCCTTGGGCAAGACTCCTAACACTACCTTCACTTTCCTGTGTAAAATGATCCAATTGTAAGTCGCTCTGGATAAAAGCGTCTGCTAAATGTCGTAAAAGTAAATGTAAATATGATTAGAGAAAAAACGCCTGTGACAAACCTACATAAAACAGCTAGTGTCAGCACAATAAAACTGAAATATTAATTTTTTTCAGTACACTTTTGATAAATCTGTGCCTTAAAACTTGATTTGGTTGGATATGGACTTCTCTCACTGTGTACTCTGTGAGGTCCTTTTTTAACACAGTGTTAAACTACCCCTATCATGTGGGGGCTGTACTGTAGTCTGGCTAGTACTCACTGCAACTACATAAATATTCTTGTTACATTTTACCTCACGTTAGGTTGTGCTCCGTTCTCCCCCACTCATGCAACAATCATAGCCTGGGCCAATAACAGTAACTGATAATTAACACCTTGTTGTAACCCAGGGGTCAGCAACATGCCGCTCAGGAGCCAAATGCGGCTCTTTTACTGCACTGTTGTGGCTCCACAGCTGAATTAGATTTGTAGGTAAAAATAAAATAATCCTCCTTTACAGTAAAATAAAGCTCTGCTGATCGTTCAACACAGTTTAACAATAAACGCCCTTAAATGTTGGAGTTAATGTGGAACTGCTAATTCACCCTTTAACCCTGAGGTTCACGTATAGACTGCTGGTCACCATAGCAACACAGACAACACAGACAACTCATCTAGCTAGTAGCTAACGAAAAGGCAAAGGGAGAGATTTAAGACGAACGTTGATAATTTGGAGACTGATGGACTTATTTGTATTTTTAAGCAGTCCAGCTGGTCTCCTGATACGTTTAATCTGCAATGAGAAACTGACAAACACTAAAAGTAGCGAAGCTGAAGTCAGTTTCTAGTTTGAATTGTCCCGTTCCACCTTAAATGGTGCAGCAGTTACATTCTGGTGCCTCGTGCATCATTTAAGGTGGAACGGGAAAATTCAAACACAAGGCTGGCGAATGAGAAGCGGCTTTAGCCTCGTAAAAAAAACGTCAAGAGACATTTTACAAAAACTGTTCTAGTTTTGTGGACAAGTTTCCTGCCAGAGACGCGAGAATAGCAGCTATATCTGTGCTCTGCTCTAAGCTTTAGCTAAGTCTGTGTTTTTCGTTTATATTATATTCTTTACCCTACACTAGAACATCAGCACATACTGAGACTTATTTACAGCCAAGATGCTAAAATGTTACTTAAATAAATGGACATAAAATGTTGTGGCTCCAAAGATTAATTTTTACTGAAAGGACAAAATGACTCAACATTTGGGCTGCCAAACACTGTTATAACTGATGTCAATATTAATTTTAACTACATTTGGATTCTAGTTTATACGGTATAAACTATGTATGAGATAAAAACAGGGCACTAAATAATCAGTTGTAACCATTATCTGTAATTTCATATATCAGGCTACTAATGACTATTCTCTCATTCTTTGGAGCTTTCTGTGTGTTACAGTGTTTTCGATCGCTATATAAAAGGTGATGTTATCCACTATGCTATCCAACCACTGATATGTTCATATATTCATATAAATATAAAATATATAAAACAAATTACCATATCTAGTGACTACATGTGCATCAAAGTGTGCATGGCCAATGTGGTGCCTAATTAACAGCTATAATTCCAATATTGGACCAATATTGATGATAAAGAAATCCCCATCTGTCAGAGAGTAACATACGAGCTGCTAATATATCATGCCCCCCAAGTATTTGAAAGCCCATGGCAGATAGAAAGAAGAACATATACTCACCGCTGATGCGGAAGGCCAGCCCTACTGTGGCTGGAGCCTGGGGTCTCGCTGTCTGGTTTGTGAATCCACAGTCTCCAAGTGTCTTGCTGTCTTCTAGCAACATGTCATCCTATAGAGGATCATATCAGAAAATGCAGGATGTGTTACAAACCAATTCATTACTAACAACACACCTCATTAACTTTGACAAACAACACTGAAAGCAAAACAGAAAAACAACAGTTTATATAATTATACACAAGGATAAACCGAGCTGGCTTAAGCATAGTCACATTACAAATTAAATAAAGCCAAATACATGAAGTCACCAAAAAGAGGTGTAGTCCATTTCTGTACTGCTGTCTGCCTCACCCATACTTGGGAGAAGCCAATGAGAGCTACAGTACATAGAATACAAATCTACAAATCTACTGTAAACTCCCATTAAAATCCAGCATTTCTTCTGAAACCAAGAGTATTAATAGGGTGTTTGATCCCCTTTTGCAGCAGTAATGGCCTCCATTCTTCTGGGAAGGCTTTATACTAGAAACCTGACACTAAATTTATCAATACTTTCTATTATTACAGAAAGCAGAGTCACTGCTCTACAGTCCATTGCTGGTGGGAGGGTTATGCTTCTCTAGCTGACGCTAGGCATTGGGTACAGTCACCAACCAAAAATATCCAGCCAACAGCATCCTGTGGGCAGTGTCCTGTGACCACTGATGAAGGACTAGAGGATGACCAACACAAACTGTGCAGCAGCAGATAAGCTATCGTCTCTGACTTTACATCTACAAGGTGGACCGACAAGGTAGGAGTGTCTAATAGAGTGGGACAGTGAGTGGACACAGTGTTTAAAAACTCCAGCAGCACTGCTGTGTCTGATCTTTAGTTTATTTATTTATAGACAATAGGAATAGGAAACATAATCTGTAGCATCCATATGCCTGTGTGACGTGCGTACACTTTAAAAGGAGTCAGAATTTGCCTCTTACTGTGTAAACTGTGTCCTAAACCACACCGACAGGTCTGAGTGACCTTAATGAAGACCTAGATGCGGTTTGAGCAGTTTTGGGGACGTATTTACAGAAAATATTTTGGGTGACTATTGACTTCTAGGGTCTGTTTGTAACGTTAGTCTAATAGCTCCAGCGCTAACAGACATGAAAACTCATGGGGTGATTTTAATATGAATTTTTCATGTTTTTACACAATTCTTGTGGATTCTTAACTCTCAACTCAACAACATTATCCCTGTATTTTAGTTTCAGAATGGACAAGAATCGCATAAATACATGAAAAATACATGTTGAAATCACTACATAAGTCTTCACGTCTGTTAGTGCTGGAGCCATGAGGCTAACGTTACAAACAAATCCCAACAGTCACCCAAAAAACTGGAGTTTAGATATTTTCATTGCATTCATGTTGCTGACTCTTTCAAAATCAAAAGGTCAATGTGAATGAAGAAAGAACATTTACGCAACTTCACTGCTCACAAACACAGCGTGATTCACGTTCTGTTAACTTTATCTTAGCTCTGATTGGCCCATCAAAATTAAACAGTATACCTGTGGATTGACTGAACAATGATTCTGATCTGCTGCTGTGCTGTGTTTAGGGGATAGAGAGGGGGGACGTGCTTTCGAAATAATCTCCTGGAAGGAGACCCTGCTCTCCTAAAATCAAAAACCCTTCGAACTGACATAGTTCACAAGAATAGCATGTTCAACATTCAAAACAGCAAATTTTGCAGAAAGGTGACAGGTTTGCACATATAATTACACTAAAAAAAGCTAAAATCTGGACACCAAACATGTCCTGGATGACTAACTAATGGAGTAACTGAAAAATTGTGTAATTGTGATTTTTCATCCAAATATTCCTTTAAGCTGAATTAAACCTTAAAAGTATTCCTTTTAGCTGAATTCACTTCCTGAAGTAGCTGAAGGTGTGTTTGGATACTTTTGGACACAAAAAATTCAAAACATCAATGAAAAAAAGTCATTCAGGCTTTAGACAAACCAGAAACTGCAACACCTTATTGTTAAACTGGAATAGTTACAGATTCTTCAAATGACTGTACCACAAACCACAAACTTTGGCCTTTTTAGGGAGGTTTCCCTGACCCAGATTAAACCTGTCAACACTAAAAATAAAATCCAATGCTAATTCTCCACTGAAATTTGGTCTTAGGCTTAACCCATATCTGAGAAAACGGCACTTTAAATTTGTTCTATGCCGACCTTGTAAAGTCTCTGTTCCTCCGGTGGCCGCTTAAGGATGCCTTCCACGATACGCTTGAGCTCGTAGACTGTGGTCGACTCCTTAGCATCTGTGAAGATGGTCGTCTTGTGACGTCTGATCATCAAAAACACGTCCTGAGAGACACAAGAAAAGATTAACCAATCAGACGCTTCATATCTCACAAGCTAATCTTCTCGTTACTCCTGTGGAGTACCTGCATCATGTGATGACGTCTATATTTGAACTGATTTTCTGGGAGGTTTTTGGAAAAGTTTAACAAATTTTAAGTCTTGAACAGTTAATTTACTTTTGCCAAACAGTGACAAAGCCTAATAAACTTTACTTCCAAACTTACTTTCTTAAAAGCAACGATAAAATAGATAAATAAATAAATAAAATAAAAGCACTAGTATAATCAATTAGCTCTCTTAGCACAACAGATTCACTGACCAGCTTACTATAGTCTTCCAAAAGGAGGGTAAACATAGGACGGTCATTTACATAACAGTTGAAACATGACAGTTCTACCAACAACAGGTTACTTATTAAAAGGCTGTGGCACCGTATCACCTGGATTACATTTTGACTACCAAATAAGACGGCAAACGTCAAGCTGGTAGGTATGCAACAACCATTAATCCTAGACCAGCGTTTCCAGTATTTACTGCACATTTTAGCTTTCTCCTTCTCAAACACCCCCATGTCACCCATATGATGGGATCGTAAATGAGTTGATTAGATCTCCAACAGCTGGACTGGAACCGCTGGCCTACACAAACTACAACAAATGGGCTTTGCAACAATCTCCAGCTAGTTTACTAGCTTTGGCCCTTATTCACAAAGCCTCTAAGAGCAAAAGCGCTGATCTAAGACCAGATTCCTGTCTTATTTTCTATGACTTCATTGACAGGATCACATTAGATCAGCACTTCTTCTCTGAGAGGCTTTGTGTTTGTGGCCTATTAGCTCTACACTTAATTCAGTCACTTAAAATGACAGTTCCAGATCTGAAAAGGCCAAAAAGAAGCCTGATATTTAATCAATATTGGATAGTTGTCAGCTAAATTAGTTCAGCTAAACTCAGATCCAAAAGCCAACACGAGGTTTAAGTCGGTTTCTCCAGATTCTTATTACAATTTTCCGTTCCACCTTAAATAGTGCAGCATTTACGTTGTGTTTTTATAAACGAATAAGAAGCAAGTCCAGCTTCCTAAAGCCCAGCCCGGCTCTTCTAGGCTCTGACTGACTTTGACTGACAGACACTTCTTGACAAGCCAGAAGTTGGCATGCTGTTCGCCAGCTTCTTGCTCTACTTTCCCCGTTCCACCTTAAATGAGGCAGCAGCTACATGTTCTATTTAAGGTGGAACGGGAAAATTCGAACAAGAAGCTGGCGGATGATTAGAGCCAACTTCAGCCTCGTCCTGTGGGATAAAACAGTCAGATAGCAGGCGAAATTAAAGTGTGGCCGTCTAAATAATCAGTGTTTTGAGCGTTAAGGTCTCACTCGAGCAGCTAAACCCAGAAATCAGTTCGTCTCCTGCAGCTGAAAGGAAACACTGCATCATTTACTGGAAGCTAACTCACGTTAGCATGCTAAAAATATTGCGAAACAAAGATGCGCCCTGTCAGCGTTTCTCACCGCTTCCCGGACTCGACAGATACAATCGCCGCACGAACGTACAGAAACGCTGAACAGTCAGTAAACGAGTATGAAAAACTCGCGTTTAAGCGCTTAAATCAAACACAGCCCGCTGTTTCTAATCCTCACTCACCATCTCTGTTACCGGTCGCAGTCCTCCACTATCCCACACTGCACTGCGCACATCGCACCGCCTGCCTTTGTGCAGCTGCTCCAAAACACCAAATGGGCTCTTCTTAAGAAGACATTAAACACCAATCATTTAATTAGTTTATTGGCTTATTTCATTTATTACAACGTGAGAATGATTTAAGAAAAATGTTATAAAAAATAGTGATGTTAAATTAGTGTTGGTATTATGGGACAGTGTTGGTATTATGGGACAGTGTTGGTATTATGGGACAGTGTTGGTATTATGGGACAGTGTTGGTATTATGGGACGGTGTTTGGTATTATGGGACAGTGTTGGTATTATGGGACAGTGTTGGTATTATGGGATGGTGTTTGGTATTATGGGACAGTGTGTTGGTATTATGGGACGGTGTTTGGTATTATGGGACGGTGTTTGATATTATGGGACAGTGTTTGGTATTATGGGACAGTGTTGGTATTATGGGACAGTGTTTGGTATTATGGGACAGTGTTGGTATTATGGGACGGTGTTTGGTATTATGGGACAGTGTTGGTATTATGGGACAGTGTTTGTATTATGGGACGGTGTTAGGTATTATGGGACAGTGTGTTTGGTATTATGGGACAGTGTTAGGTATTATGGGACAGTGTGTTTGGTATTATGGGACAGTATTGGTATTATGGGACAGTGTGTGGTATTATGGGACAGTACTGGTATTATGGGACAGTGTGTTTGGTATTATGGGACAGTACTGGTATTATGTGACGGTGTGTTGGTATTATGGGACAGTGTTGGTATTATGGGACAGTGTTTGGTATGGGACAGTATTGGTATTATGGGACGGTGTTTGGTATTATGGGACGGTGTTTGGTATTATGGGACAGTGTTTGATATTATGGGACAGTGTGTTGGTATTATGGGACAGTGTGTTTGGTATTATGGGACAGTGTTTAATATTATGGGACAGTGTGTTGGTATTATGGGACAGTGTGTTTGGTATTATGGGACAGTGTTTGATATTATGGGACAGTGTGTTTGGTATTATGGGACAGTGTTAGGTATTATGGGACAGTGTTTGGTATTATGGGACAGTGTTGGTATTATGGAACAGTGTGTTAGGTATTATGGGACAGTGTTTTGTATTATGGGACAGTGTTTTGTATTATGGGACAGTGTTGGTATTATGGGACAGTGTGTTAGGTATTATGGGACAGTGTTTTGTATTATGGGACAGTGTTTTGTATTATGGGACAGTGTTTTGTATTATGGGACAGTGTTTGGTATTATGGGACAGTGTTTGGTATTATGGGACAGTGTTGGTATTATGGGACAGTGTGTTGGTATTATGGGACAGTGTGTTGGTATTATGGGACAGTGTTGGGTGTTATGGGACAGTGTGTTGGTATTATGGGTCAGTGTTTGATATTATGTGACAGTGTGTTTGGTATTATGGGACAGTGTTAGGTATTATAGGACAGTGTTTGGTATTATGGGACAGTGTGTTGGTATTATGGGACAGTGTGTTGGGTGTTATGGACAGTGTGTTTGGTATTATGTGACGGTGTGTTGGGTGTTATGGACAGTGTGTTAGGTATTATGGGACAGTGTTGGGTGTTATGGGACAGTGTGTTGGTATTATGGGACAGTGTGTTAGGTATTATGGGACAGTGTGTTTGGTATTATAGGACAGTGTTTGGTATTATGGGAAAGTGTGTTGGTATTATGGGACAGTATGTTGGGTGTTATGGACAGTGTGTTTGGTATTATGTGACGGTGTGTTGGGTGTTATGGTTTAAAGAGGAAAAGGGCCTGAAAGCTGCCAGGTCTGCTACATATGAAATGAATGGATTAAAGAATTTGTCTGTAATTTTTTTGTTTATATATATGATCATTTAGCCATTCAGTCTCAGGTATCAGCACTTCTGTCTCCTGCAGTTACGAAGTACATTGAGAGAAAAAAATATTTCGACTGTCATCAGGCCTCCTTTCTTGATACTTTTACTTTCCTTTTCGCTTTGCATACTTTCTTCTCTTACTTTAAGTTCCAGAAACTTTCAGAATAATTTACTGTGGTGATTTTGTTATGCATAAAATTAAATCTAACAAAATGATCCAATCGCAAATGCATTTAGTGTTAATATTTCTTTCTTTCTTTCTTTATTTATTTATTAAGTAACTCAAGCCAAAGATTATATATAAGGTAAACCAAGGTGGTGCATGCCCCAGTGAATGGGGTGAAAAGGGGTTTAGTTCCTGTCTGCTTAAGTCCTAGGTCAGTCGTCAAGCTCTCCTGACTACAACCCTGCTTTGGGCAACTTCATCGGCACAAAACCAGAATTACCTCCACTAAACTTAACTTCAGACGGTTCATCATAGACTTTGTGATTCCCTGCTTAATGTTATCTAAAACCATTGAGTGCTTTTTGGTACCCCCGTACAGTGAAGTTGTGATTCTGAAGACTAAATAAAATGTTCTGACGTAGCCAAGGGGCGTGGCTGTGTGTAAGCTATCACATGAGCTAAATTTTTAACCCCCGGCAAACAGATCAAAACAGAGCCCCCAGTGCACTGCTGACACTGACTGTGTTTACATGCACCGGTTTTCGCCAATCCGATTGAATTGAATTCCGATTATAGATTTAGACTGGGGTGTTTATTCTCACTCTACTCAACAATCTGATGGAAAATCTCTGTTTCAAATCCAACATTACACGCATGCATAGAGAACCACTTACTGTAGACGTTACCAGAGAACTTGTAGAGTGGAGAATTAAAATACCACTCTGTAGTGTCTTCCGGGTGTCTTAAACAAACACTAGAGGGCGCGCCCGAGCAAGTCCAAAATGAATGGGTCAAGATGGAGCATTTGAGCAAAATCATAGTTTATAAATGCTTAAACGTTTTTAATGTAAAAGGGTATATTAATTTCCTGAACACTGAAAAGCATAAAACGTTTTAACACTGCTGTTATGTTTTTAAGAGCTTTTAAACTCGAGTTTAAACTAGGAGTTTAAAAGGCACCTCATGTACATTCATGATGTCAGTGATCGCGAACAGCCAATGAGCTGCTCCGCTCGCCAACCAATCAGCACTCAGTGTCAGTAATGTTAGCGTCCTGCTGCCCAAAACCCGTTTGCTGTAGAAAAAAGGAAATGTAGGTACGATTTCTTTGTTTTTTAGTGAAACAAATCCTTCTACTTTCTAAAATTAAAGAAACGTTCTGGACGAGTGATTAGAAACTATTTTAATAATGATAATAATAATAATAATATATAATAATAATATAATAATTTTATTTATATAGCACTTTTCATGCCGGTGGCAGCTCAAAGTGCTTTACAGACAGGTGATAAAACATAGTTATAGAAGGGATCATTAGTACTTTAACTTTTCGTTTTTAGCCGTTGAGCTCCATTTACTCCCATTAACTCGCGGGCGCCCTCTGCTGTTTATCTGTCCTGTTTTGATATAACGGGGGAATAACCAGCTCTGACTTTCACTATGACGCGACGCGCAAGTGCAGAACGTACTTAAACTCTCCGATCGGGAATGTAATCAGATACAGGCGTTTACACGGCTTTTATTCTTCTATTTAACGGATTATTAACAGGATTACCCACCTCATTCAACCGGATAGAAACTGTACTCCGAATGGCCTCAAGCGGACTAGTCTGTTCTGACTGAGGTGTTTACATGGACGTGTTCTATTCCGATTGAGCTATTAGTCGGATTATTAACTCGTTATAAGGCTGCATGTAAACGTGGCTACCGATATTGATCATGAAACAGTTTTCAGTACTGATATAGTTTAGCTTCATGCGTGCTGTGATACAAAAACAATCCCCGTAGAAGAGAAGAAAGAAGAGTTTGGGAGGAAGAAGTGGACGGTTGGCCGGTGTGCCTGTTGCCATGGGAACGTTAAGACAACAAGCAACCAAAGCAGGACGATGAACTCGAGGTGAGACGTTTCTCGATATTAAAAGCGTTTCTGGCGTTAAAAAGACTTCTGTTATCTTTAACCTGACTACCAAACCATACTTACCATAGCACACAAAATAAATCTATATTATTACTAAGAAAAGGATAATATTTCTGCTGTATAATAATCTCTTTTTTCACCCTGTGTTCATGTAGAGCTGCCATTTGCAGTGTCCTGTAGTAGTAACGTTACTGGACTTGTTTGCTTTAATATTCAGTGTAAATTCTTGTAGTATAACAGTTAAATAATGTTATTTTTTATTCTTTTTCTCGTAAGATAGCTTTTGTGGCTGGATGACGCAGAAAAGGTTGAGTTTGAGACATCTTGACTTATGATAACAGCAGAATTTGGCATTTCCCTAACAGAAAACCTGTAGGTGGACGGTCACTGCACCAGAGCGCCATTTCTTTCGGAGACCAAACCAAAACCAGCTACTCCACCACTCATACAGAGGTGAGGGAGTAGCTTTAGATGGTTCTGAATGGGCAGGTTGTTCACTTTCAGTCTCCTCTTACTGTCTTCACTGTCTCAGGCTCCTGTTCATGTAACATGAGCCAATACATAAAAGGCCTTCTACACCAAAACCACAGCCGATGCTGCAACCGATTCAGTTCCCCTCCAGAATTCATGTTCCCCTTCACGAGTCCACAGAAGCACATTCACTGAGCAGAATAGCAGAGACGTTATAAATGAGGAGGCTGGTCACTGGCTGAAATATGGAAGCTCATAACACTCAACTTGGTGTCTGTTTGTGGATAAAGTCTCGCCCTTCAAGAGAGAGAGCCAATCTGCTTGCTGGTTTTCCCGCGAGTGTAACTGGCCATGATTACGTATTTTAAATGCTGTTAATTTAACAGCCACTGTACAGATGTTTACACTTTTTTTAAATAACTTTATTTATAACAACATGGATGGAACTGAACTGGCTACTAGTGGTAGACAGTAACGAAGTAAATGTAATTCGTTACCGTACTTAAGTAGTTTTTTGTGTATCTGTACTTTACTGAAGTTTTTCCATTTTGGGTGACTTTACTTTCACTCCACCACATTTCAAAGACTAATATCTTACTTTTTACTCCAC